AAGGCAAGTGCTCTATAACTGAACTACATCCTCACCCCTTTCTCATGTTTCTTGGAAGTAAAATTGAGGGTTGGATATATCATTCTTAAATTTTGGTACCCGTCATTCCAATGACTTATCTGAAATGGGTCTTTGTTTCCTTCTTTCAACACGCCTAAGGTCTTTCAGCTTCCAAATACCAAGATTTAAAAATATATTGTACAGACTGGAGATATAGCTCAGTGGTAGAGCACTTGCCTAGCATGTGTGAGGCCCTGGGTTCGATCCCTGGTATGGCCAAAAGAAGTAAAAATATAATGCAACTGTTATTCATAATGCTGGCAGGATTGGATTCACGGCCCAGCATAGAGTTTGTTTGAAAGACACAATTGTATGTGAGACATATATAGGAATTGGTTGTAGTTGCTCCGTAGTACATCCAAATCTATGGAATTATGAAGTAACTTTTAGAAGAGTTTTAGGAATCTAGCAAAACTAGTAGTGATTTTGCGGCTGTAGAACATAGTTACAAACATTTTTTCTTGTATAGAGAATGATCTGAGTAAAGGCAGAGTGAGGGAGTGTAAAATAATGGAGGAACCTATACTTTAGAGGTAGGATTTTATTCTAAGGGGAAGGAAAACATAAGGGGACTTTGACTAACGGAGGGGTGATCAAAATTGTCAGTTTCTTTTTAGAAAGTTCACTTTGAGAGGAAAATAGAGAATGGGTTGGAGATTGGGAGGAAGAAGTTGATTCGTTTCTTTGCAGTCATCTAGCAATCCATCTATCTTTCCATCTGCCCACCCAGCAAACATTATGGAACACCTAGTTCTAAGAATAAAGCTTCCTAAATCAGGTAGGCCTGAGGTTTAAATCCTGTCCTGTCATTCACCTACCTGTGTGATTTTGAGTGAATTATTTAATCTGTCAAGAATTTAATTTATTAGCTAAAGATAGGACGATAAACATTAAAACTTCATAGGTAGGTTGGGAGGATTCCAGTTAATAATGCTTAATAAATGATTGATGTTATGCAAGAAACTCAAAAACACTGAATAACTTTTAGCTATTATCAGTGCTCACAGGCTGGAGAAACAGATTTGGGGACTTTAATGAAATTGGGGCTTGCTATTGGGGACACCTTCATGAGGATGGGATTCAGTTTAGCAGACACTGCTGAACATGTTCTGCCTATACAGTCCCACACCAGCTGGTGTGGGAGGTGGCCCAGGTGGGTGCCTCTGGGAACTCACAGGGCTTCCTTTTAATGCCAGGCACAGTGTGTTAAATACTTTAGTCAGCTCAGTGGTAGAGAGTTAGAAACTTTTTGGAGAAGGTAGGATTTGAGATGGGTCTCAGAGAATGGGCAGGTCTCCAGTAGGAGGTAAAAGGGCTCTTTAGGCTCAAGCAGTGAGTTGTATGGAAGTCTAGAAACAGAAGAATGAGGATGTGTATTAAGATTCAAAGGGGGGCTGGGGATATGGCTCAAGCGGTAGTGCGCTCGCCTGGCATGCGTGCGGCCCTGGTTTGATCCTCAGCACCACATACAAACAAAAGATGTTGTGTCTGCCGAGAACTAAAAAAGAAATATTAAAAATAAATTCACTCTCTCTCTCCTTTAAAAAAAAAATTAAAAAGATTCAAAGGGTCTAGGGATATGACTCAGTTGGTAGAGTGCTTGCCTTGCATGCACAAGGCCCTGGGTTCAATCCCCAGCAACACACACACACACACACACACACACACACACACACACACAGAAATTCAGGGAACATATGTAGGATAGAATATGGAAACTCTTATTTTAAGAGAGTATATGGAGAGAAAAAGTATTGACATAAAGATGTGTGGTTTATTTTTAGTAAAGAACTTTTTATTTCATTCTGAAGATTTTTGGACTTTTAAAAGAGGTGCTCATAGGGAATGGAAAGCTATTTGGTTTGTATTTGAAGAAGGAGATGGAGGAGGCTACTTAAGGCTGTCTTAGTCTCTTTTCTGTTGCAGTAATAAAATACCATACACTGGATAATTTATAGGCAGCACGATTCCAGAGTCTAGGAAGTCCTAAAGGATGGTACTGCCATCTGGCAAGGATCATCCTGTGGTGGAAAATGGAAAAGCAAGTCAGAGAGAGGAATCAAGAGGGAAAACCTATAACAACCCATTCCACTTCCTACCCATTCCTCTGTTTGTGGCATTAATCCATTCATGAGGGCAGCATCCTCATGATGTGATAACCTTTTAATGGTCCCACCTTGATACTATGGCATTGGAGGGGACATTCAACCCATAGCCAAGGCTATTGAAAGAGCTCAAGCAAGAGCTCTGAGAATCTGAGTGAGGTCGCCGGAGGAGGAAAGGAAGGATAGGATAAGAAACTTAACAGAAATAATATTGTGGGGACTTGGTGACTCATTTTTGTGGGGTGAGATGGAAGAGATGGGTTTGCTGAAATGGTAATGCTTTTGAGAATGGGCAGTAGTGGGAAGAGGTTTGGGAGGAAGGATGGCCAGCTGCTTTGAATCTGAGGTACTCGGGAGACATCCCTCTGGAGGAGACTTCTACATGATCACAGGTCTTTGGATCAGACTACAAAGTGGGAGCAGGGCTGTAACAGAGGGCTGTCTGCCCAGAGGCCAGCGTGAGGACAGGGAAAGGAGAAGATTGTCAGAAAGGTGAAGGACTCACCTTTGGAGAAAGGACTATTTCAGGCTGAGTAGCAAGAGAGGATCTAGTGACAGAGACAGGGAGAGGAATAGGAGAGAGGTGCAGGCATCCAGGAGGAGAGAGATTTTCAACAACACAGATGGTCAACAGCCTTAAGACAACAAAGAGGCCGCCCAAGTTGTTTATTGGCTGATGTGGTGAAGGCAGAATTTTAGGTATGCACATCCTTGGGTGGCATAGCTGAAGTGGGAATCCTATAGAGATTTTGATCATTTAGCAAAAGATTCATGTGTTTTGGAGAGTTGGAGTCCATTTCCTTGGCCTTAGAATTTTTTTTTTTTAACCTCCCCCTTGCTTGAATCCTTCCTTAACAGTCAATTATCAGCTGGTTTGAAGTTTTGAATGTTCTCCTTTATATTCCAGAGTGCAGAATTAAGTGAAAATGGTCCCTGTCTAAAGAAAAGAGGGGTATGTCCACTAGGTCTGAGATGGCCAGGTGCTTGGTGTGTCTTTTCTCCAGTTCTATTTTGAGCAAATTAGTTGGGGTTGGATGTGGAGATCCTGGCTGTTCTTTCAACAGTGCAATCCTAGAAGACAGTGTATACCTGGGATTCTTGCCTCTGGACTGGAATTGGCCTGAGAGCAAGGAGGCTCCCCTGACAGATGAGCCCCTGAGTCTGCATGGGAGCCCCTGAGGCTTCCCCATAGGGGCAGGGCTGGTGTGGGGAGGCTTGATTGTCTTCATTCCCACAGCTCAACTTCTCCAATTGAAGCCAAGGAGCAACTTTCCTTTTCTGTAGTTTATTGTACTGAGTTGAGAGAGTGAGGGGACATGGGGTAGTAGGGGATGGGAAGAGAACTTTGAGGATCCTCTTTTGAGGGAGGCATGTTGGACTTCCCCAAAATACCGTCACCGCGGACATTATAAATGAAATGTTAACCATACATACTGTTTTAGGATGAAGCAAAAACCTTGGGCCCTGCTTTTCTCCCCACATCCACTGGCCACTTATCGTACTTTTCTCTGATCTCCTTTCCCTTCCCCAGCTTCTCTCCATACCATTGCTTCCCTGTTTTTCCTCGCCACTTTTGCTGGTCTCAGTGCTTGAATTTGTTGTACCTTCTCTCTGCTGAGGATGCCCAAGTGGAAGGTGTTGCTAGAGGGAAATGGTTTTCATTGCAAATGGGCCCCGTGGGACATCTGAGCTTGCAGCTGGAAGTTCATGCAAATGCCATTTTCCTCCACCCTGCCCTCCGCCTCCTGGGAAGCTGGGATGTAGCTTCCCGAGGGATGTAGCTTCCGGAGAGTGCTCCCTGGGTCGTTCAGGAAGACTGCGTAGGTGTGTGGGACACTCTGTCTTTTCATGCCCTACTCCTTGCTGCTTTGACTTTCCAGTTTCACATTTCCTTTCCCATTTCCCCTGCCTCTTTTTAATTAACCTTTGCCCTTTTCCATCTTTTTCCTTTCTCCTTCTCTCAATACAAAGAGAACACCCACTAGAACTTAACTCAATTTCATCTCCCTTTTTTTCCTGTATCTCTCGTACTCCATTTGAAAACACAACCTAAATGTCAATTAGTAACTTCATTTACAGACCGTCAGCCTTGGTATAATTGGATTTGGTGTTGTAGGAAGTTTCAGGCACTGCTGGAAATGAACTTGGGGTAGGGGGATATGGAGTATTAATCTCTACTCCTGGCAGAGGAAGCAGGAACCAGAATATCTTATAAGGAAATAATATGGTGTGGTTGAGCGACATCAGAAGCCCCAAGTTTTGTGTCTAGGCCCTCTGCAATCAGAGGACCGTGCACTGGTCTTCATTTTTAAACACAGGGATTATGGCATTTGCCATCACTACTTTGATGGAATGTTTTAAAATCCCAGTGAAGTATGTCTGTGAATTACTTGAAAAATAGGATTATTATTGTTATTTTAATATATAAATGTGTCCAAACAAAATAGCATGTATAAAATGAGCTAACAGTATTGGATGATCTCCAATGATTCCTTCAGGTCCTAGGCTCTGTTTTCCCTAAACAGTGTTTTTGTTTTTTTTTTTTTTTTTTTAATAACACAAGTCGGGGCTCAATAATCAGTTGTATGGACAGATATCTAAATATCTAATTTCCTTACATGCCCCTTCCTAGTCCCACGTCCCTTTTCACATTGACACTACTGCCCTCTCCTGGCCATCAGTATTGTTACAGTATATAAGTCCATGGGGGGTGGCCCCTCTCCCTGGCTCCCAGAGCTGGCTCCTTTGCACCATCTTTGGCTTACAATCACTGACTGCCTACCTTTTCTCCTCCTCCCCTTTCCACCCCATCCCTTTCTCCACCTGCCCCTGCAGCACTGCTAGTAACTCCAACCGCAGCACGCCGGCCTGCTCTCCCATCCTCCGGAAGAGGTCTCGATCACCAACCCCGCAGAACCAGGACGGAGACACCATGGTGGAGAAGGGCTCAGATCATTCCTCAGACAAGTCCCCATCCACCCCGGAGCAGGGTGTGCAGCGCAGCTGTTCCTCACAGTCCGGCAGGAGTGGTGGCAAAAATTCCAAGGTGAGCTGAGCCACGCTGACTCTGTGCCTCTGTCGGGGAGGCAGAGAACACCTTCCTCAGATGGTTGAAGGGCCCCGTGTCCCAGAGGTTGTCTCTCCATGAGATGAGGGCAGGGTGAACAGGAAGAACCCTAGTTAAAAATCTTCCCAGCTAAGCACTAATGTTAGAGGGGTCATGGATTAGAAGATGATGCTCCATCCACCCTATCTTTCTTTGGGAGCTAAGGAGACTTATGTCCCTTGAGATCTGGAAGAGAGATGCTTAAGGGATTGGAGGAGGGGTCATTTATTCATCTCTGTTACAGTCTTCAATTTTGGTCCTCAGAACTGGAGTAGAAGGGAGCATTATCTGAGGACAACTGTGTTCCCAGGGAGATAGTAGATAGTCTTCAGAGAACTTCCCAGAATGCTGTTTTTAACCTCTCTAGCCACCATCCTGCTTCATCTTTGTACTAACCCACTTGGTACTCATCTGGCAGAGAGGGCAGTGAAAGGGCTTTTCCATCCCTTTTAGGCATGTCCACCTGAACACCAGGGCCCCTACCTCCAAGGATATGCACAAAGCCCCAGATTGGTTCTGGTTTCCCGGAGAGTTCCACTTTACCCATGGTCCTTTGGGAAGCAGGAGGCATACCTGCTCAGGTGCTCCTTCAGGAAGCTTCTCTTCACCAACTGACTCCCAGGACCTGGGAAGGGGCTGGGGACCCCAGGGAGGCATGGGTACTGGTTTCCCACCTGAATTTGTCTTTTGATTTCTTGTTCTTCCTCTTCTTCCCCACCACTTCCCAAATACCTTCTTTGCATGCATGGTCTTAGTCTCACAAGCGCCTCTCAAAAGTAAGCCATCTTTTGTCTCTGTCTTTTTTATCTCCCCTCTAGTGTTGAATTGTCTGTAGTGCTCAGCATCCCTGCCCTCTGCCCCAGCCAATTCTGCCCATGTGTCCTGCTTGGTCCCTTTCCCAGAAGGGTCGGCCCCACTGTTCCCTGGAAGGCTGGCTTGGAAGTAACTGGGCCCATTCCTATTGCACCTGAGGTCGGAGAACTGACCCTGTCCCTGCTCCCCAATGTCTGCCTGCTACCCGAACACTGCCTCTGGTTGGAATTTATTCCCTCCTTATATGGTGCCTTCTCGAAGCAGAGTCTGGCAGAGGGAGTTTCATTCCTGGGTGGGGTACGCCCCATCCTGTCATATTACAGGTCCCTGTAATCACCCTTGGTGGGTGATTCTGGCTTCCCTGGCAGTAGGGATTTGAGATGGGCAGGAAGGACGTGCTGACGGAGGTCAGGAATTCAGGTCAATGAGTTCCCTCGTGCAGCAACAGCAACTGTAGGAGCTCTGCCAGGCATGTTCCTTTTCTCCCCCCTCGGAGAGCTGCTTAGCTGGAGCACCTCTCACTGTTTCCACCCACTGCCCAGACCAGGGCCCTTCACTGCTTCCACCTACTACCCAGGGTCTGGGTTTATGGTGTTAAGATCCTGAGTCTTGATCAAAGAGAGTGCAGAGGGGCACCTGGAGTTTGAAGAATGTTGCCAGTAACCCAGGCAGGCCCTGGAGATTGGGAGCAGGGCAGGAGACAGAGAGTCTTTCCCAGACCCTAGGATCTGTGAGGCCTGAAGGGAATTTGAACAAATGTTGGGTAAGCAAAAGGTGTTGTAGGAGTGGTGAGGCGCCCCGAGGAATGGTTGCAGCTAAAAGAAGTGGAAGCTAAGGGAGGATGCCTTGTAATAGCCCCAAGTCCCTGTAGGTGCCTTGGGGAGGAGGAGAATGGCAGCAGTTCTTTCCTTCAGGAAGAACAAGAGGCTGCAAAGCTAATTCTGCATTCTGTGACCTTTAGCCTGGAAGCATAATGTAGATCTGAGGATGTTCAATGACGATAGATAGCCGGTTGTGGACAGGGGAGGAAGCCAGCAGGAGCTCTCTGGGTTCAAGTGGTGGGGCAGGTGCAGGCATGGCTGATTTCTGAAAATGGGATTTGGTGTGACCTTCATCTGTCCCTCCAGAGTGATTGTACCTCTGCCATAGTTGATATGATAGTGCTCAAGGCCCAGTTGAGGGGAGGCTTGGTCTGATTGGATGTGGACATCAGGTTATTCTTCCTCTTTGCTTCACCCACTTTTCCATCCTAAGGTGATGTTTTATGGTATTTGGTGGGCACTGTAATTCTTACTGATGTCACTGGTCACCACTTAAAGAGTATGAGATTTGGGTGGATGATGGGTTCAATAGGCAAGTACCCAGTAATGAGGATTGATTTCAATCTTCAAAGTGTTAGTCTTTTGGGGGGGAAACCAGGCCCATAATTTAATTTTGGAGGTATAGACAGTGTTGCCCAGATTATATACAAACCAAACCTGATTTAAAATCTCACATGTAGGCAGGTATGGTGGTACATACCTGTGATTCCAGTGACTAGGGAGGCTGAGGCAGGAGAATCACAAATTTGAAGCCAGGCTCAGCAACTTAATGTGGCTTGGGGATAGAGGCCCTTGTGTTAAATTCCTAGAACCAAAAAAGAAAAAAAAAAAAAAAGGAAAAGCCAAAACAAAAAACATAAGTACTTCAAGATATATGAATTGACAGGAGAAATCACTGAGTTTGGGTAGCCAAGACACATTGCAGAAAACAGGCAGAATCAGAGTAGGAGTTTGGAAAGGCATTACAAAGGAATTGAGGTGATCTGTGAATCAAGAGCTAATCTTGGCCCCCACTTCCTAAGGAGCTGAGGTGTGGGAGGTGACTGAGCCATTGTGTTTTTCTCTCCCTTTGAGGAGAAGGGACTGAAGCAGAACCATCCAGACAGACACACTCATTGAGTTCCCTGGCTTGGAACACCCGTTCCCCACCTTGTTCTCCCACCAGTCATGACCCTCACTCTAACCCGGATGTCCTCTAAACAGAGTGAAAATAGGACCATGGTCCATCTGGGGCATGCATGTGCGAGACACACAGACTGCAAAAGAGGGACGTGGGAACCAATACAGGAAAAAGGTTGCATGCAAGCCAGGGCTGGAACAGATTGTGAGGGAATGCTGCAGGGGCGAGGCCTATGTGGGGTGTCCTGATAGAGTGGAGACACACCAACATTCCACGGAACATCTTCCCAGGTTGACCAAATATGTCCATAGTGAGGAATCTGAGAACCAGAGCTGTTAATGTTATAATCATAGTTAGGCCACTTCACTCCCTGTCTCCTGTCCATTCTCTAGGAAAGATCATCTCTTGTGTTTTCCATTTAAGCTAAGAATGCCTCTTCTTCTCCCCAGAGTGAGAACTAATGCCCAGTCTCTTTTCTTCTCTGGCCTCTATTTATTCATGTTGGGGGTGGACTAGGCCATCCCTAAGGTCTCACACTCTTGAACTTTATGCAGTAGAGGCTGATGCTTTCTTCTTCCCAGAGCATAGGCTGGGGAACTCAGGCTGACCCCACTCCCAGGAATCTCTGCCCTTACTCCACCATCCAGACCTCACTTGGTAGTGACAGCCTATACCCACTAGAGGGAGCCAAGGCCTGGTTTCCTGCTCCCACCTGCTCCTTGAAGTGATCTGCCCTCCCCTGCTCTGACTTGCCTAGGTGGTGCCAAGGCGATGGGGACAGTAAGTTCTTGGCTTTGGCCCTCCATTGCACCTCTCTGGGTGCATAGCATCACCCTGTGCTGTGGTGCTAATGCTCCTTTGACATTTTTTCCCTTTTGAAAATATTTCTAATTTCTGTGGTTTTCTTTTCAGTATGACAGACTTAACCTGATCAAAGTAAGATTTTTTTTTTTTTGTCCCTAACTGCTACTAAATGTAGAGCTTGTAGCCGTCATCCACCCCAGCCCCACCCAGCCCCACCTCCACCCCAATCCTGTCTCCAGGCTCTCTGAGCCTTGGCTCTGGAAGATGTTTTTGGATTTGGAGCAGGAGACCACCTTGAAGTGACTTGGGTCTATTTTGGGGGGCTTGGTGTACCTTCCAGTCTTTGCTCTTTAGCTGCCTTCTAGGAAAGGCAATGGAAACACCAAACGAGCCCTGATCAATTCCTGTCTCTGACAGCTCTTTTTTTTCTACTCCTCCTTCACCTTTTGGCCAAATTTGTGTATAAGCTAAAGGAACCCCACTTCCCCTTCCCTAGTTCTGCCCCTTCTTTCCCTCTGGTTCTGTCCTCCAAGTAGGGGTGTTCTGATGAGCTTACAAGGGAAGGCATCTGCCTTTTCCCCTTCTCAATATCCCAGGCTGGCAACCTCCCTGATTTCCCTGTAATTGGCTCCTTTAGGACTTAGTCCCAGGAATACACAGCCATGAAGATGTAATTGACCTCCAAGAGGTTGGTCAAGCTCAGAAACTTCTGCCTGCTATGGATAGTTTTTGTGTCTAGTGTGGATTTTGCTGGAGGCATAGGTCCTCATTTGCCTCAGAGGCAATCTCAGTGATGACAGATGAGAAGCTGATCAGAGTTAGCTGGTTAGAGGTAGAGCCAGGAGTCCTTGCTCTGGATGGTGTATTTCACATTTCGAGTATTTGAGAATATCTGTTCTCATCTACCTTTTTCAAAAGAGCAAATATTAGATACAAAGTTATCACAGAGCTAGTTAGAGATGAGACAAAAGGGGTTTTCTGGTTAAAGCTTTTTGTGATGCCTGAAACTCTTTGTTCCGTACAGATTCAAAAGGGGCAGGAGTCTTGATGCCAGTGCATAGAAGGTGAAAGTCTTTTCTTCCTACATGGGACAGGAGGGAGGGCACCATGGAGAGGAATCCCAAAGAATCTGGGATCTCCCACCCTATACCTAAGTTCCAGTTGTCCTCTTTGCTCCTAGGGTCTTATACAAAGGCCAGGACCAGGAATGAGACAGCAGGTGTAGATGATAGGAACCTTTCTCATCTACGAAGCAGACGTCTGATGACCTGGTTTGGTATTAATGAAGTTCAAGGAAACTGTGAGGCAGTTGAGGCAGCAACTCCAAGAATGCACCTTCCTAATATTGGGAAGTGCATGCTGTGAACATCTGCACAGCCCCGTGCTGTATGGTCTCAGTGTCAAGAGTTTCTGTGTGAGCACCCAGGAAGTAAGACATCCTGAGGCACAAATCAAGTTAGATGCAGCCTGCTTGTCCCATCCACCCTCTCCAGACATGGGAACCTTGACTAAAATGCTTTTTGGAGAGTTTTCAGGTCTAGGATTCCCATATAGCAACATCCCCTTCCATGATGAAATGGTTGTTTTTGAGTATCCAGATTTAGCCCTTTACCTTCTAAGGCCCTTGGATTGGCAGAGGGGATGATACTATAGTAATAGTATGTGACTTCTGGATTAGACCATTGATGGTGTTTTGGAGAATGACCATGGAGAGTCCCTTGCAGAGGGGAATTGAGAACTGGCTTTGCCATCTGCCATGTTGGCCACAGTCTTGGCTGGTGAGGTTGGTGCGAGGGTGAAACCAGGGGCAGCACGTCCATGGCTAATCCCCCTTTCTTGCCCCTCTCCAGAGCCTCTGCAGATTCATGTTACCTTCAAAATGTGTCTCCAGTTTCTTCTGATGGAATAGAAGGGGAGATTGGTCCCTTGACTCTCCCGTCATCATTGTGGTCATACTCACCAACACCCTGTTCCAGTCACCTTCACCCCACCAGACACATGCCCTACAGACAAGCTGAGACAGTGGCTCCCCTCTTAACATGAGGGGAGGGCATGAGGGCTGCTAATTATGCATAGGATCCGTACCTCTGGGTCAGGTTGAAGTTTTGACCTGGAGGTAAAGTTTCTGTCTATCATCCCAGTGGGATGTATACAAATGAATTCTGTTGGTGGACATGGGAAACAGACAAGGCATAATCTAGTCATCCCTCTTCTTTCACTGGGAGATTTTCAGATCCCATTCTTCCAGGGGACTGCAAATGGAGAACTTCTGAATTCTGGAGCTGGGGTGGAGTATGGTTTTGCTGATACTGAATTATAATACCTGGAGTTGGAAAGGACCTTTAGAAATTACACAAAGAACCCACAGTCATTCCTCTGCTATTATCACTTACATCATCAGCCAGTTGTTGAGATATAAGAAGGAATTCACTCATCTGCTAACTGAGAGAATAGCTTGAAGGTGATTTCAGGCAGTCCCTTTTCTTCCCCTGTCACCGAAGTGTCCCACCCTGCCTTCTCTAGAGAAGCTGACTTGGAGCAGGAGGTTGGGTTGGTCTCCATCTGTACTTTGCTTCTGATCAGGGCCCATTGGGGACTGGGTCTCGGATGCCTCCAGAGCATCCCGCATCCCCATCAGAAGAAGCTGATGGGGCTCCGACTCCCTTCCAATTGAGCGCTAGCTGTTGCTGCCGCTGCCTGCCTCCCCAACCGCCCCAACCCGGTGGGGCTTCCAGCATGGACTGCTCCCTGGGCCTCCTTTCTGGAGCTCTCTGAGAAAGGAGGACCCCTCCTGAGCAGCAACATGGGAAGCATTCAGCTGCACTTGGATTCGTCCTCCCTGCCCACCCTCTGCTATCTATGTGTCCTTCCCTCTGGAGCCAGACGTACTCTGGCCACTCCCCACATCTCCTCCATGACTAATTTTACTTTTCTCTTTGATTTGTTTTTTCAGAAAAGCCAGAGTTGGTACAACGTAAGTATTCCTGTTTCTCTTCTTGTCGGGTCTGTGGGGGGTGGGGTAGAGGTGGTCAGCTGGGAGGGGGAAGTGGGAGTGCTGTTTGGCTTCCCCATGGCTTTTCCCCCTAATCTGCTTCCTCCTTCCCCAGACCAAATAGAATAGTTTTCCTCTGTAGCAAGACAGGGCAGTCCTGGTGAGGGAGGATTTGATTCAGTGACACCAGGAGGGATGGTCTGGTTTATCCCTTGTGTCTCCCAGAACTCTTGGATAAGCCCCTTCTGCATCCTAGAAGGGGAGAGCAGTCTGAGAGGACTGGGGCAGGGGTATGAACTCAGGCCAAACTTTCCATCCTTTAATTAAGACATCTTGGGGGAGATACAGCCCATAGGACTTTTCTTCAGGAACTGAGAAGCTGTCCTATGTAATGTAGTTTGGCTTCTGCCCCAAAGCATGCTCCTCCTAGAAGACATCCCCTGACCTTGGGTCTATGGTGAAGGTGTGATTAGGACCATTTCTTAAGTCACCCCGGGTGGCACTTCATCCATCCATCCACTTTTTTCCATGTTGAGAAAGTGTTTGCGGAGTAAGCAGTCCTTGCAAAAGCCACATCCTCTTGGTCATATACACTGAGGTTTAGGACTTTGAACTCTTCCTCTGAAGAGCAGCTGACCAAGGTCTCTCAGCCGGCCCTTCTGGGACCACAGTAGAGGAACAGGCGTGTTTCACCATGGCCTGGCTTTGGACCTCACCTTCCTTTCTCTGAGCCTGCTGGCCTTCATACTAGACTCTGATCACGGGCATGCCATCTTTGGCCCCTCCTTACATGTGGTTTTGCTCCAGCAGGAGGTGTGGATGTAGAAAAGCTGTCAGGGAAAGGGCCTGTGAATGACAGATGGAGGGCAGAGACAGCGGTCCCTGGGAAGGGCTTGGGTTTCATATGGGACTGGGTCCAAATCACACATGTGGGCTGTGTGTTTTCATACATGGCAGCAGTTCCTCAAAGTCAGGAACATGCCATCTCATTTTGTGACTTTCCACCTTGAGCCGCTCCGTGGCCTGTCTTTCATGGGTGTTATTGATCGATCTGCAGGCCTCAGTCCCATCCAGCATCCCAAGTGGGCTTGCTGATAGGAGGGAGTCAAGGGTTGAGATGGCCTGGTGTGGGAGAAGAGCCACAACACTCATGCTTGCTCCTTGCCTCTTGACCCATCAGGGGGTCACCTGGCCTCTGGCCTCAGGTCTCTCCAAACTGCTCAGAGCTCCTGTGCTCGAGGATCCAGAAGCACCCTGTGTTAGGGAGGGGAAGAGGAGTGATAGCTGTGCTTTCTGGGAGCTGTCCCTGTCCCAGCTGTGGTCAGGACATCTTTTGCCCAAGAATTCCTTTTTGAGCAGCACTGCATGAAATAGAGCCTCCAAAGAGGAACAGAAAATACACACTTGCAGGCTTACTAGAGAATTAAAACACGCAAATTTGAACATTAAAGTCCTTTTTCTTGTTCCTGATATCCTCCTCTTATCTTTCTATTTCTCTCTTTTGTTGCTTTTTAGCTCAGTCCCTTCTGTTTTGTCTTGCTTCTCCTTTTCTTGTGTATTTCTCTACTTTTTACTCTCTGACCACCTTTCTCCCATCTTTTTCTTCCATCCTCCTGTCTGGCCTACTTTTTCTCCCTGATTCTAATAGCTTTTACTTTCTCTCTGCTACCCCTTTCACCTCCAAGTCTTTCTCCTTCAGCCCCACATAGACTCAGTTTGGTGACAAGCTAGGAGGTGCTATCTCTTGGCTAGAGGATGGGTTGGGCCAGCTGCCCTCTGGGGCCCCGGAAGCCCAGGTTCCCCTGACTGGAGGAACCGTGCATGGCTGGAGCCCTAGTTCCTGGCTGATTCTACTTGCAACCAGAGACTTGCTGCAGCAGTGGAACCTCACTGACCCTTCCAGCCCTCCTCCAGGGTAATCAACCTGGGCGAAGCCCTCTGCCCTCCATAGGGCTGCTTTCTTCTTGGCCCTGCTAAATGTCTGCAGTAGAGTCCTGACGCAGGGTTCTACTGGTGCAGGCAGCAGAAAGGAATAAACATGAGGAAAGAAAGAGAAATAGCAGGTAAACATTGGGAGGAAGAGACAGAAGCGGAGAGGTGGCAAGTGGCCCCCAGTGGCCTGAACTACAGAGGTCAGGAGGCCTGACTGGGGTTTACACAGTTGATCATCTCTTATTTTATTTTCATATTTCCTTCATATGTTTTCATCACCAGAGGTAGCACTTCTGGAAGGTAATCGGTTACTGCCGTACTGGAGAGGCCAGTAGAAAGCAGCACTGAAAATGGGCCTGTGGGACAATACCCTCTGCCCCCAAGTAAGAACCTTGCTTTCTTCCTGAGGCCGAGGGTAACTCCCCAGCTTGGACTTTTCCACAGCTGGGCATCTGTGGAGCAAGCAGAGTGCTGCCCGTTATACTCCCTAGAAGTCCACCCTCCCAGGTCCTCTCCGATAGTACTAGCGCATTTACCCATGACACTGGCCCAAGTGTGGTTGTTTCCAGGCTGGAACAGCAAGCCCTGACCTGGTTGTTCCCAGAGTCACCTGAATCAATACATAGAGAGGCTCCTGGCACCTGCCATGCCCACACCTGTGCCCTGGGCTAGCTGGGCACCCTCTCTTTCAGTGCACACGCATGGGCTATGCTCTTGTGTTCAGATGTGCTGTCAGGGGAAGCTTTGGTTGAATACCCGCAGCTCCCCAGCTCTGCCCTGCAGTAGCTCACTTGCACTCCTTCAGGAGGCCCTGCTCTGCCTCTGTTTTTTGACCTGGCTTCTGTTTTTCTTCATCTCTCAGACCTCTTATCTGTCACCTGCAGTGCCCTGGGCTGGTTGGAATCTGACCTCCAGGGAGGACCCCATCTCCCCTTCTTAGTCTGCCCAGCAGTGTTTCTTCTAATCTCTTTCTGGATACTACTGTCAGCTTTCCAGCTGTTCTGATGCCTCAGACTCCATCATGGTACTTAGAAGTCCTTCAGGCTTTGTAATACCGAGCCCTGGGGACAGTAGATACCCTTGGCCAATGAGAGAGAGAGAAGTGACAATCAGGGCTCAACAGAGTGCTGCCCATTGCCTGGGCATCCGAGGCCCATTTGAGTGGTTTGAGTCTGATGTGAGAGGAAGCCCACCTACCACCTCCCCACCCACACTCCAGCCTCCACCTTCACCTGCCACTTGCCTGCAGAAGATGGAGCATTTTACTTCATGTATTTAGCCAGGGAGGAGCTGTCATCACTAGGACAAACTACCTTGATCTAAAGAGTGGGTTACACAATGGACGTGGCTGGACCCTGGGATACAAGGAATGGCTGAAGAGAGACAGTATCAGGTCAGGGGTGGGGTTTGAAGATCCTGCCTTGTACCACTGCCCTGAGGCCAGGTTACACCTGCTTCTTCTTTTCCTTCTTTACCACCCCAGTTTTATTCAGCAAAGTGTCTAGTTTAGGGAGTGAGGCATGGCCCCTGCAGAAATGAGGTAGAGATATAAGCAGAGACGGGGCTTTGCCTTCAGCAAAGAACCATGGGATGAGTTGAGGGTAACAAAGTCAGGACCAGAGTGGGCATGAAGCTCAGGTGAGACAGGGTCATAGAGGTCTCTTGGCTGTGGCTCAGCTGGGCAGATAACACCCAAATCTATCTCATCTCACTACTGAGATGTTAGCCATCTCCATGGCAACCAGGACAGGAGCCTCATGCTAGGCAGAGACCTAGCATCCTAGTCACCTGCTGCTCCCCCATTAGGGGTGGTGGCTTTCTGGAAGGGAGGAAGGGTCAGTGGCAATCCTGTGGAATGTCAAGCAGGTCTGGATGGCTCGGTTTGAATGCTAAAGAACAAAGCTTTGTAGGAATGATATTCCAGGTGTTGCGGTTAGAGGCAGTGGAGAAAGTGGGAGAGCTGAAAGGAATCCTCCTGCCTTAGCCACCTGAGTCACTGGGATTATAGGCATGTGTCACTGTGCCCAGAATTTACAGATAACTTGAAGAGTCTTCCTGATCTCTTCTCCCCCTGACATCCCATCCTTAACTCTCTCCAGAGTAGTGTCACCTCTGCAGGTGAGACCCCTTTCCCAGCCCACCTCTTTCCCCACCCTTCTGCCTCGTACCCATTCCTGATGCCCAGTCACCATTCCCTGTTGGTTGTCCCAATCTGGCTTTATCTGGCTTCTGCCTACCGGATTAGGTTGGAGCACCAGGATTTCCTTTGTGGATCTCAACTAGTTTCTCCGGGTTGGGGGGGTGGGTATGTGCAGTGTTCTACCAGAATCCGTTTGTTTTTCTCCTTAGCGCCCCACCTCCTCCTTCCTGCTGATCACGGGAAGGGGGTACCATTTGGTCCCAGTACCAGATGTTTGCCATAGAGTTAATGTTTAGCCCAAGGTAATTCCTGGTGCTCAGGCTCCTGCCCTGCCCTGCCCAGCCCTTGGTGAGTGGGTAGAGGAAACCAAGACTGAGGCTTACTGAGACTCATCCCCCAGGGTGTTATCTCTCTGGGTGTGTACTTTTCCTATCTCACCTAAATAGTAGTCATCTCATTTGGCTTGTATCAATGGCTTGTAATCAAATGTTTCCTGGGAATTATTTTAAGGATCTAGAGACTTTTAGAACTATCTACCGCCTCTATCTTGAGGTGTGGTGTGGCTCTGAAGAGAGGAAAATGGAATTGTTTCATTGGTCTCTCATGGTGCTGAGGGTGGAACTGACATGCAAGACAGAGAGAATCTTGACAGTGCTGGAGAGACTGTGATCAGGGACTAGGCTCTGAGAAGCCAGATGTGCAAGTCAGGGATCCCCACATGAGTAAGCATGTGTGCACACAAAATGCATCGTTGACGGGAACAGTTAGGGGTATAAGGAATGCATTCATTTGGTAAATAAATTTTTAACTCCTGCTACTGAAACACATCATGTTGACTTCTGTGGAAGCCATGAAGCTGTTTGAAGCACGGATCCTTCCTGGGGAAGATGGAAGTAGGTTACCTGGCACCATGAATGGAGGCTGTGGCAGCCTTCAGTGGGTGTCTGTTGAGAGGGAGGCAGAGGGGATTGTTAAGAGACGGTTTGGGGGAGATTTACCGGGGTCAACCCAGATTACTCTTGATTAACATCCATCTAGGACTCTGTTTTCTTTAATGTGTTCACTGGGTGATTTTTAAATATTGCTGAAGTTTGAGTCCTACTGTAGTACCAAACTACTAAGGCTCCTAGGACAAAGGCACTCCGTCCTTCCTCAGGAACAGGCCCAAGACCCTCCTGGTAAGGTGGCCTAGTTGGGGAGGGTGAGGGAGCTGCCCCAATCTGCATCGCTGTAGTCCCACTGTCTCAGGCCTGTTTTGAGTGCCCCTTTCTGGAGGCTTTCTTGCCCCTATTGGCCTAGCTCCCATTCTTCTCTATATTTGGCTGCCCCCTCTGACAAGGGGCCAAATTCTCTGCACTTAGCATTGCTCCTTTGCCCTCAAGGTCTGAGCAGCTGTCTGGGAATCCACTTGGCCTCCATCCCCCCTCCTATTAATGCTGAAGGTGGGGCAGGGTCTTTGGAAAGGAACGAGGTGCCTCATCCAGACCCCAAAGCTGTTGACCTCAACTTCCCCAGGCTATCTGCCCAACTTCTTCCAGGCTAGCACATGTGAGACTCACTAGATCAGTTATTAAATCCCAAGTCACCAGCTGCAGTTACAGGGCAGTTGGTACATGGATGGGCCAGCAAAGGGAGAATGTGTCCCTAAGAAGTCCCTGGCTGTCTGAGTCTCAAATTTCAGATTTCATCAGAAGAGTAGTGCCCTTAGCACCTCCCCTGCCTCTCCCCCCACTTGGAGCCCTGGCCAGCAACTTTCCATTGCAGGAAACATCTGCTGGGGAGGCCAGGCTGGGCCAGGGGTTACTGTAGGACATTGGCCAGGACCATCACCCAGATCCTGTAACTTGAAGCATGTGCAGGGCTCTGGCCCTTCCCGCCCACCACCCTGCCTCCCTCCCTTCTGCCACGGTGACTCTTAACAAAGAAGTTGTTTGCTGTCCAGCTGAAAGGAGCGGGGTCTAAAGGGAAAAGGGGTGTGTTGCAGGGGTGGGGATGAGAGCAGGCTGCTGCTGACTGGTGGCCGCTCTGCCTGGGTGAGGGATGTGAGTCATAGCGGCCCCAGCCTGCCCTGGGTAGATTGCACGTTGATTAACGTGCCACTCTGTGGGACTGTTAAGACCGGGGAGCTGAGCCTTCAAGTGGCTCTCTGGAGCTTCCCACCAACTATGAGTCACTTGGCTGTGTGTGAGTAGCTGGACCTCTGGACCTGGACGTGAGGCATTCTATTCCTGGGAGGTTTGCCTGTCCACCGGGGCCTGCCCTCGAGAACCCTCAGCCAGCACTATCTGCCTGCTGTGTCTGCATCTTCAGGCCTCTGATGGACTCTTGGGGGTGACTGCACTGATCAGGAGGAGGTGCTTGACCACAGCCCCTCTGGCCCACCTGAGCCTGAAGACCTGCCAACAAGGACAAAGCAGAGCCCAGCTGTGGGACACTGGCCAGCCAGCCTGTCCCAAGAACCATGCTGATCACATCCTCTCACTTGTGAAGCTTTGCACAGCTCTGGGAAAGAAAAGGACATTGGCTGGGGTCACACAGACCCTCTCTCCAAAAGCCAGAGGTCATTCTTCTGCAATTCACTCCCATTGAGGCCACTTGTTTTCATCCTGTGGGGACAGTTGGGAGTCAGAGCCAAGGAGCTGGGCTCCACTGGGAGAGGGAGCTGTGGAAGAGTGTTGCGATGGAATCTTTGGTGGAGTCTGGGGTTCTCTGGAGCCTCCTGTTGGAGCAGGAAAGCCCATCGTTATGGTGGTCCTCAAGGAGATTTCTCAATGAACCTGCTGATGCTGGACACTGTTACTTGCATGGATCTGAGGAAGTCCCAGCCGTGAGTGTGTGACCTGATATCTCTCTGTGACCAGTTTTTGCACCCTCACATGCCCCATTTGGCTTTGCCCCCCAAGGGCCCCAGATTTGACAACTCTTGAACCAAACTTTTTTAGCCATTTAAATAGACGAGCCATGCCTCACCTTTGGAGGAATTTGCTTTAGGAGTGCCTGGGGTGGGAGGTAGAGGGCCAGGGTCCCGTGGCTTCAAGACAGCATGTGGTTGCAGGCCAACCATGCCCACCTAATGTGTCTCAGCACTTTGGGTTGCAGTGGGGAGAGGCTGGCCACTCGCACTGATCGATAGCCTGATAGAATAAGGATATCTCTGTGCAAATATGGAGTAAATCTTTAGAAGACTCGCTTGCCCCCTCTCCATCACTACAACTTTGTTCCAAGCAGAAGAGAGGAGTAGCACTCTTGATCTGCCTGTGTTTGGGAGATTGTGGCCAGACTCCTACACTTCCATCTCTATAGATGTCTGGGCTCTCACTGGATATAAGAGAAACGGGGGGAGAGGGCAACATGGAAGAAAACCTAGAAACAGGAGAACTTCCAGGCATCTGTTTCCTCATTAGGATGTCTCACTATGTTCAGTTTCACCTGAAAGGGTTTGTGGCCACTGATAGGCCACTCCTCAGTCTGATCCTGGAAGGCTGGTGGGGCCGTAGAGCAGGTGAACATCTCATCTTGAGAGATTGGGCTATTGTGGATGGCTCTTCTTTCCTCCTTGGCACAAGAACAGGGCTCCCCCTCTTTGCACCTCACTTTTGTTTAGTATAAGGTAGGATAATAAAAAACACCTTGTGGTCAGATGCAGTGATGCATGTGATGGGCTGAGTCTGTGCTTGATATGTGGTAACAGCTCTTTCCATGTCAGGTTCTCTGCAGTTCTAGAAGGCTAGTTAGACAGGAGGGGACCATACTGGTGACCAAGTAGTCAAGCAAGAGTTTCCAATGTGTGTGGACTCTTGTTCCAAGAGGCCAGGGGGCCATGTGGGTTAGATGACCCTCTGCCAGCCTGGAACTAATACAAAGATCAGAGGATTATTGTATCTGAGGTCTTTTTTGGCCATAGAAGTCATAGGATGGGTAGGCTTCCTGATGTCAACCTGCAATTGTCCTGATTCAAACCTGGTTCAAACACATGGCAGGTGGTTTTGAAAGTTGGGGTTCTATGACCACATGCCATTGTTTGGGGGGAAGTTAACAGGGCACACATCATTGCAAGTGGAGCTCATTCTGTAAATAAGCTAAGAACAAAGGCTGAAAATTTAATTAACTGGACAAAGTAGTTAGAAACACTTTTTTCCTCCCTTGTACTTTCCTGTGTTCATCTCCCCCAAACCTCCTCAAACTAAAGGCATGTCATTTTCTCTCCCCCATTTCTTCCTGAAAGCTCCTCTTTCTTTAGTTCAAAGACCATTTGACCATAGCTCAGGTAGGCAGTGCAGTGTGCAGATGTCAGCAGACCCCAGCTTTGGTTCCCTCATGATCCATTTAGCTCTGTAGAAAGCACCCAAAATGAGCAGCTGAAAGGTTGTTCCCTCACCACCACAGCTTTATGCAGCAGATTCCCAGGGAAGTGGGTGAAAAAGTGAAAAAGGCCAAGACCCATGTGTCACCACCAGCAGGACAATCCGTCCTCAGGCACGAGCTCCTGGCTGAGGGTCAACAGTATTTTTTTCCTGCATAAATAGGTCAGTGCATTGCCGGGTGGAGTGCAGATGTCCTGTGTAGTTTATGTTTCATCGTTGGTGTCCTTTGTCTTTGGGTACTTACATTTTTTTGTTTGTATTTATTTAGTTTTAAGATTGGTAATAGTTCCTCTATTTATTCACCTGGCTCATCTCTAAGGAGGATTTGCTAAGGCAGTCCATGAATCTGAGCCTGTACCAAGGCCTCTGTGAAAATGAGGTGGGCACAGGGGGCATCTAGTGGCCCAGGTGGTGGTAGGGCACAGGGCAGGGCCAGAGATGCAAAGCATGTTGCAGGGTCAGATTTTCTGCGCTTGTTTTCTCTACCAGGTCCCTGCTCCTCATCTGGCCTCCTAGGGCTTATGTGATAACAGAGTCCCCATTTTTTAGTCTTGTCATGGGGCCAGTGGTTGTGTGGACAGGGGCAGGGGGCTTCTCTCTGGCCTTAGTTTCTTCACTGGTACTGTAGGTGCTGATGGATCATCTTGTAAAGATGGGAAGGGAATTGGGTGCCTTGTGTGCCGGATATGCTTTTAAATCCTCTATCCCATGTGATTTTTTTTAGCACTGGTTTTATGATTTATTTTTTTAAAGTCATGTCTTTCACACACAGCCAAGTGCTCATTGTGTTAGTTATTACAGCAACTTCTGAGAGGTGTGCTCCCCATCCTGTCCCAAGTCCTGCTGGGTACTGATTTGTCTCCTGAGGCCCCTGCTTCACTCTCTCAGTGGTTCTACCAGCTGGCAGAAAGCAGAGCACCAATAGCGGCATGGTGGGCTTCAGGAAGTAACCTGCAGGTGTCCCTTCTTCCTTTGTCTTCTTGGGACATAAGTGGGCCCTGGCTTTATTTTTTGATATTTTCTCACTTATGGATGCTGGACACAACAGTTTTGCAGGATCCGGTTCTCTGCACTGTTGTTCCATGCCAAGCGCCCTTTCCTGAGCTGGCTTTCTTGGGCCTCTGGGTTAGCAGAGCCTTACCTTTACCTATTTAACAGAAGCAAGTGCTCCTCTAACCCACAGAAACTGAGTACTTTTCACTAACCATGGCCATTGTTATGCAGGTGTTAAGCCCCACTTACAAGCAGAGAAATGAAGACTTCAGAAAGCTCTTTAAGCAGCTTCCAGACACGGAGCGCCTCATTGTTGGTGAGCTGGGAACCCTGGGAGGGGCCAGGCAGAAGTCTGGGAGTTGTAGAGATAGCACCCAGGCTGCTTCTGGCTGGAGGCTGAGAGCCTACCCAAGTGAGCTTGTATATCTGGCAACTGGGAGAGAGCATGTCAGAGCACTGGCCCTGGCTGGCAGGGCTCTGGGCTGAGCACCCAGTTTATGGCAAGAGCCCAACTTATAGGAAGTACCTGGAACACTTACCTCTGTAGATGATCAAGCAGTGGAAGGGATTGGCATGGTCACGGGGGTGAAAAAGAAATTGAATTTTATTGACCTCCTTATCCCTAGCTTTCCTGGCCCCCTCTGCTGTCACATTCATTCTGCCTCTAGGCAGTAGCGTATTTTACCACCTCCATGTTTCTGATCATGAGATGCCTGGGTCTTCTTGGCTGCTAGTTTCAGTGTCTCGCACACCGAGTCACCGTAGGCGATTTGGTTCCCCTAGTGCTGGTGGGAGCGATGACAGGTCTACAGTTTGCTAAAAATGCTTCCTGCCTCTGAGCTTCCTCTTGTCCTGCTTCTTACCACAGATTACTCATGTGCACTCCAAAGAGACATTCTTCTTCAGGGCCGACTCTACCTCTCAGAAAATTGGATCTGCTTCTACAGCAACATCTTCCGCTGGGAAACTCTGGTAAAGATCTAGGACTCAGGCTAGGGGTATAGTTTAGTGGTAGAGCACTAGCCTAGCATGTGCAAGGCAGCATGGTTTGATTCCCAGTACTGGGAAAGAAGAAAGAAAAGACCTGGGACTTGCTCCCTTGGGCTGTCTTCTTGGCCAGGGCTGAGAAATTTGCCCTCACTTCCCTCCTTTGCCTGACTTTGTGTTCTCTTCAAACCTTTGCACAGATTACAAAAACACATGACTGAGTCTTGAAGGATATCCATTCGTGTATGAGTCCCAGTAGTGGGGTCTCCTCTGCCATATATTTCCCTCCCACCTTTTGTATGTGGAAGAGGGCACAAAGAGCATTTACTTTCGGCGAATGCAGTTATTTAGTGCGAGTTAACTGCAGAGGGAGGCATAGTAGACAGGGCATTGACCTTGGGGTTCAAAAGACTTGGCCTGCATGTTTTCTGGATTCTGCAGTTAATTAGCTGTAGGATGATGGGCCAGTCCTTTCCTTCCCTCATTCTTATAAAATAGAGAAAGATTAAGTGGATGATTTTTATTGTTCTATCCAGCATCTATGTTCAGTATTTCTTTAAGTGGAAAAACCTTTGCAGTATCACCGCATATTTAGCAGACTAGAAATGAGAAAGAAAGAAAAAAAAAGTCTTCCTAGACCAAGAATCAAGATATCCATGAGTGTAGACAAGGCTTAGTCTTTACCTCGCTATGTGGCCACTGTGACAGAAGGGGGTAAACCAGATGATCTCAAAGGTGGTTCCTTCCAGGATTAGAAATATGTGAGCCATGATCTGATCTCCTCTGTCTGCATTGATGCTGCCCGATCACTCTACCTAATTCTTTGTTGCCTCCTCTTGTTGTCCATTCTCTGTCCCTGCGGGGGTGCCAGCTGACAGTCCGTTTGAAAGATATCTGCTCCATGACAAAAGAAAAAACAGCTCGCCTCATCCCCAATGCTATCCAAGTTTGCACTGATTCAGAAAAGGTAAGTGCAGCCAAATTCTGGCCTTTCTCCCTGCCCACCCTGCACCCTCCACACCCTGCTTTCCCTACTCCTGCATTTCTGCCCTTAAATTGCATTAATCTGGAGGCTAGGAGGATTGGGGCAAAAGGCCATGAGGGAGAAGCAAACTCCCAGAGTGACTCTTGGTATGGCATGGACAGGGTGGCTAAAGGCTGAGTAGGGGGAGAGGGGCCTGGTGCAGCACTGAACGTGGAGCCAGAGGACCTGAATGTGGGCCCCATGACTGTAGGCGTTAGGTAACCTCTCTGAGCCTGTTTCCTCATGTGTGAAATTGACCCAGTATCCAAACCGAGCATTGAAATAACATCACATATTTGAAAACATTAAGTTGTAAAGCACTACACAAACTGGAAGTAGGTCTGATAGGAAATGGGTTGTCCTTATCAGTATGAGGAGAATGTGGTAGATAAAATTTAAGATAGGAAAATCAGTGATCTTTGATCTTTAAGCAGAAAATGAAGGCAAAGAGATCCAAAGCTAAGGGTGGGCTAGGTTTCAGTCTACAATTCCCATGACTCTTAACAGTTCAGTGGCAAGAGATGGCCTTTGGTTCCAATTCTCTTTCTAGCACTAACCATCTTTGTGATCATGGAGGCTGCTAACCTCAACAGCCTGGCATTAATTGTTAGCACTTTTATTCATTGTCCAAGGTTTTTTGTGTGGCTTGTACAAAATAGCATTTGTCAAGCATTGAGTAGGTAGGTGCACAGTAAAATTTAGTTTTCCACTGCTTGCTTCCTGCTTATTGTAAAAGATCTTCATTAATGGGTTAGCTCTCTGGGAGCAGGATCTGTTTCTGTTCTGTATGTGTTGTACCTTAAACAGAGAATAGTGCCTAGCTCCACAAATATTCAAATAGTAGTTGAATGAATTAGAAGTGTAAGTCTGTGGCTGTGTGTAATCCTTCCATTTAGGTTAGTTGCCAGCTCAGTTCTTACCCACTTCCAGTAGGTGGGTAAAGGACTTTTGGGTAATGAGGATTGAACCCAAAGGTGTCTTACCAATGAGCTACATCCCCAGCCATTTTTATTTATTTTGAGACAGGGTTTTGCTTTGTTGTTGAGGGTCTTGTTAAGTTGCTGAGATTGGCTTTGAACTTGTGATCCTTCTGCCTCAGCCTCCCAAGTCATTGGAATAACATGCATGTGCCACTGTGCCAGGCAGGACACAGTGGGGGTAAACCAGATGATCTCAAAGGTGGTCCCTTCCAGGCTTAAAAATATTGCCTCTGTCTGTATTGCTGCTGCCTGATCTCTCTTTTCCTAACTCTTTGATGCCTCCTCTTGTTATGGAGATAAAAGTTTTAAACCAGAGAGGAAAATACTGAAAAGGATGTAGTAAAAATTCTGAAGGATTTGGTAATAGTGAGGACTTAGAGGTCCCAGGTACACAGGTCCCCAATATGTTGACCTGTCATTAGCATACCTGTGTACTGATTATGGATAACTGAAAGTCATTAGTGTTTGAGGATGAAGTCAGTATCTTTAGTTTAAAAGGAAGACCATGTCTCCATTCAATATATTGTAAATATTAACTGGTATTTCTTGCCGTTTTGTCTTCCAATCTAGCACTTTTTCACTTCTTTTGGGGCCCGGGATAGAACCTATATGATGATGTTCCGGCTCTGGCAGAATGCTCTCCTTGAGAAGGTAAGTACTGCCCAGCTGTTTCCTTCAGCCTTAGGATGTACATCCACCCAGGATGTTGTTCACACTTGGGTACTGACCTCATGGGAAGATTGCTTCAAGGGAGTCTGTGTCGCCTCATGGTCTGGAAATCCCCCAGACGGTGAGGGGCACATTCTTCCATGGTAGTATTGATTCTAAGTCCTGAAAGTTCCACATTACCAGAGAATGTCCTCAGCACTACTAGGAGGAAGACACTTGTGAATTAAGGCACGTTGGTTCCACTGTTTTAAAATGAAATGGGATTTTAAAAATCATATTTAGTAAAACATGTAGTTACAGAATGACTGTCATGAAGGAAGAAGCTTTTAGATTCACAGATCCCTAGAAACAAGGGAACAGCCTGCCTCACCGGGCCACCGGGAAAGCACCAGGGTCTATCAGGAGGTGGAGGGATGAGGGGAAAGCCTGGGCAGGAGCCTTTTTTTTTTTTTTAATTTAAAAAATTTTTTTAGTTGTCGATGGACTTATAAATTAACTAATTAATACATGATACTGAGAATCAGACCCACACAGGTTTAGGGCTGGCTAGTTTGAATAATCTTACCAGGCTTCAAGGTATGGGGGACTGTCTTTCATTGTCTGGTACCTGGCCCTGAGGGTACCAGTCAGGCTGAATAGAGAAGTGTGGATATGAACTTTGGATTAATTGGTTGCACTTGAGTGACTTATTTTCTGTCTCTGGAACTTGCAAACCGTGGGAGGTTCCAGACTTTTCAATAAGGCTGAAGAAACCAGAGAATCAAAACAGGAAAGAAGAAAATTTAGTTAAGATATCTACCAATTGACTTTTGAAATGTTTGAATTACCTGGGAGAAAACAGATGGATTATCATGGTCCCTGCCCTTAGAGATTGCCCTCAAATGCAGTTGGGTATTGACAAACTCTCCAAGCTGGAACAAAAGACAGGAAAAAAGCTATGTATATGATTTCCCTCAGGGATTAGTGTACAAATACAATTGTCAGCTAGGTATTTGAATATGTGCATGTATCTGCCTTTATTCTAATCAGTTACTAGCTGAAGAAATTGAGCAAATTTATTAGTTTTTAGTTTCTTCTCATCTGAGAGACTGGTTAAGTTTTTATGGCTTTTTTGAGCTGAGTTCTTCTGCCTTTATTAATAATCGAAAACGGTAAAATGATATTGTGTTTCCTACAGCAGGTATGAATTTTCACATTATAATCACTGTCATTTCTAAATAAGACATCCCTACAGCTTCTAAATGTCTCATAAAATAATTATTAAGAATTCTAAACTGGGCACAGTGTCCCACATCTATAATCCCAGCTACTTAGGTAATATAGGCAGGAGGATCACAAGTTTGAGGCTAGTTTCAGAAACTTAGGGAGACCCTGTCTCAAAACAATGTAGTTCATTGGTAGGGCATCCCTGGGTTCAGTCCCTTATACTCATCCCAGCCCCCTGACAGACACACAGAGAAAGAATTCTGTCTGATGATGAAGATTGTGCTTGTCCTGACAATGGTCAGACCAGCTGAGCCAGGTAGAACTAGTGAGGGAAGGCAGCATGGAGAAGTTGAATAGAAAAGCAGGCTAGGACTTGGTTTGCCAGAAAGCAGATGTATCCCAGGGTGTCCATGAAAGTCAAAGATAGGAGGGAAGAGGTCCTGGTAGAGGAGAAGGGGATGTCTCCCTTCTGGTCCACAGATGGGCTTCTGACAGCCATTCCAAGTGGTTTTCCCAAGCCATAAAACCAGAATGCTGACACACAGTGTCCTGCCAAGTGCCTGTTTTTGAAACCATACCTTGAAAGAATGGACTTGAGGAGCTCTCAGATTCTTTTTATAACATTTTTTAATTTGTTCTCTTTATATACACATGACAATAGAGTGTATTTTGACATATTATATATACATGGAATATAACTTCCCATTCTTGCTGTACATGATGTGGAGTAACACTGGTCACTTGTTCATATATGAACATAGGAAAGTAATGTTTGATTCATTCTACTGTCTCTCCTATTCCCATCTCCCCTCCTTTCCTTCATTCCCCTTTGTGTAATCCACTGAACTTCTATTCTTACCTTCCCTGCCCCTTATTGTGTGTTAGCATCTGCATATCAGAGAGAATATTTGGCCTTTTGTTTTTTGGGACTGGCTTATTTCACTTATCATGATAGTCTCCAGTTCCATCCATTTTCTAGCAAATACCATAATTTCATTTCTCTTTATGACTGAGTAATATTCCATTGTGTATATGGACCACATTTTCTGTATCCATTCATCTGTTGAAGGGCACTTAGGTGGGTTCCATAGCTTATTGTGAATTGAGGGGCAGCTCTCAGATTCTTTTTTTAATTTTATATATATTAGTTGCTTGACAATACCTTTATATTATTTATTTATTTTTATGTGGTGCTGAGGATTGAACCCAGCACCTTGCACATGCTAGGCGAGCACTGTACCGTTGAGCCTGAGTCACAACCCCAGCACCAGCTCTCACATTCCCGATGGAATCTATTGGTAAAAACATTCTTTTTTTTTTTTTGTATCGGGGATTGAACTCAGGGACACTCAAACACTGCACCACATCCCCAGCCCTATTTTGTATTTTATTTAGAGACAGAGTCTCACTGAGTTGCTTAGTGCTTCGCTTTTGCTGAGGCTAGCTTTGAACTTGTGATCCTCCTGTCTCAGCCTCCCGAGCCGCTGGGATTACAGGTGTGCTCCACCATACCTGACTAGAAATAGTCTTTAGGAGTTTTTGATTACTTCTGTTTTTCTTAGCACTCTTGCCCTTTTTTTCACATACTCTTCTTCCGTTTATTCCCACCTGAGTGAGACTCATTCACAGTCTTGACCTCTGATCTTAGTTCTATGACGTTCCTTTGCTTCTGTGTGGAAACCCAGCAAAAACAGCTTTTCTTAGGCTAGTGCTTTTAAGGAGGACACAAAGATACCCAGTGAATAAGAAAATATGGTAACTAATGCGTAGAACTGTAGGCAAACTGAGTGCTTTTTAGAATAAAGAAGAAGTATTCTGGTAATCAAGACAGGATTGGATAAGATGACCTTCCAGGCCCCTTAAACTGTGAGAGTGCAGGACTCATTCGAACCATAGGAACTGTCTACCTATGGAACAGAACACCTCTGAGGTTGGACCTCATTCTGGGAAGCGACTTAGTAGAGCCTGCATGGCCATAGTTAATATAGACGGAGGTGGCTACACTGGGTGGGAGGCTGGGTCAGGGGTTCTCTGTGTACTCTGAGTCCAAGTCAGAAGCTCTGGAATTACTCTGGCCTTAAAGTAACATGGATTTATTCCATCCAGTCCTGGAACTTATCAATATAAGCACAAGGTAGTGTGGTGACTATCTTCCAGGGGCCAGCTGATCCCATTCTGCAAACTTCTGTTGAAGTAACAGACAAGGAAGGCCACGTTTCTGGCTTTGCTGAACTCCACATTCTTAGGCTGAGATCCTAAGCAGATGGGGTTGTCATGGAGGTGCCCGCTGTCCTCTAGTTCAGCAAGTAGTTCGACATCCTGCCTCTAGGAGTGCTAGTCTGGCTCAGTGCCTCTGCAGAACAGGTGAATTTGCACAGGAAGGACCTGAGTCGTGGCTCTTCTCCCCTGTAGCCCTTGTGCCCCAAGGAGCTCTGGCACTTTGTACACCAGTGCTATGGGAATGAGCTGGGCCTGACCAGTGACGACGAGGACTACGTGCCCCCTGACGAGGACTTCAACACGATGGGGTAAGTGAAGCCGAGGGTCGGCTGCGCAGGGAACCTGGGGATACAAAAGCAGAGAAGGCCTCAGCGCATGTACATCTGAGTCAGGCCCTGAAGGCAGTGGGGGCGGGAACAGCCAGCAGGTCTGTTGCTGCAGAACCAATAAGTTGGCAACGAAGTCAGGAAGGTTGAAGAGGCAGAAAATGATGGACTTCGGGCCATTGTGATGATTGGCTTTTATTCAGTGGGATGGGAAGATTGGGAATAGATCATCGATAAGGTCTGACTTACCATTCTAAGAGGATCACTCTGGCCTCTGTGTTAAATACACTGAAGGGAAACAAACAGAAGTGGAAAAACCTGTGGAGAGGCTGTTGAATAATTTAGATAATTTGGATGAGAGATGGTGGTTGAGACCAGGAAGGTAGCAGCAGAAACAGTGGCAAATAGTTCCTGAATATATTTTGAAGGATTTATTGATGGATCAGAAAGGAACCAAAGATGGCTTTAGGGTGTTTTGGTTTTATCATTTGGGAGGATGGAGTTGTTCCCAAACTGAGATGAACAATACTGTAGGCAGAACAATTTTGGAGGGAAGACTAAAGGTTGGTTTTAGGCAAGTTGAGACTGAGATGCCTGTTAGCCCAGTGTAGAGATCAAGTAGTCATTTGGAATGAGTGTGGAATTCACTGGAAAGTCTGGAAACTCAGGAGTTACTAGTTTTTAACCATGAAGTTGGGTGAAACCTTCATGTAATCAAATAAACCAAAAAGTGGAAGTTCAAGGGCTGGGCTTGGGAACACTCAGTGAGAAGAAGCAGAACAAGAGATCTTAAAAGAAATTCCAGTGAGATAAGAGTGATGCTACAAGAGTTTCGAATCATGGAAGCCGAGGAAGGGTGTTAAGAAGAGTATCGAAGTATCATGTGCTATTGGTAGGTTAAGAAAGGTGGGGCCTGCAAGTTGACTGAGACAAAGTATGCTTGAAGTTGGAAAGGTAGGTGGAGGCTGGGTGGTTGTGTGAGCAGCTGGAGGAATGGAAAGAGTATTGAGTGTGTGGTACTTAGACCTGGGCTTGGTTATAAATGCTGGCATTTTATAGAGGTATCACATAAACTCAGGGGATGCCTATTTGATTATTTCTAAAATGCACATGGTTATTTACTTAGAGTTGTTATGCAACCAAATGACAGTAAAGAGTCAGATGTTAATGCCAATGAGGATTGTTTCTTTGAGGGAAGTTTGCTGTGGTACTCCTAAAAATGTCTGTAGAAGGGCACCCACATCATCTTTAGGGGATTTTCCTCTTAGGTGTACAAGGCAGAGTTTATTAGTTATTATTCAGAATTTGTGCAGCACCCTAAAGGAATACTTGAATCCAGAGTCCTATCTTAGGCAACATACGGGAAATAAAATCTGCTCAGAACCCAGATATTAAGTTCAAATGATCAGGATGGGATGGAATCCGATGAGCAAAACATAGGGTAAGATAAATAATGGTGATTGTTGGGTAGGGATAATATAAAGAAGATGCCTAGGAAAGTTGAGCTTGGAGCCAAAAATTTTGCATAGGATATAGGGAAAGAAGGAATGAGATGGGAAGAAGGTCTCAGGGGAGCAATGAAGGGGGAAGATTTTTGGTTAAAGAAAGATCATATACTAATCAAAGACTCAGGAAAGCCCATAGTTTTAGATAAATAGGCAGGTCTGAGGATCTTAGAGTAGTTGTCACTCTTGACACTGAAACTGACACCATCTTGCTGGTTGCCTCCTTCAGCTACTGTGAGGAGATCCCTGTAGAAGAGAATGAAGTGAATGACAGCTCTTCCAAAAGCAGCATCGAGACCAAGCCAGACGCCAGCCCACAGCTGCCCAAGAAATCCATCACCAACAGCACCCTGACATCCACTGGAAGCAGCGAAGCCCCCGTATCGGTATGGATGGTGAACACTGACACCCCCCACCTGATCCTGTGGCCAGTGTCTCCTAGCTGAGTTACCTCCATCAGAGCCCAACCTGGGGAGTGGGTGGAGGGAGGTATGGTACATTGCAGTTAGTTTACTTGAGAAAGTGTGCTGGAGTGCATGGGTTCTCTATGCTCTTTTAGTATAGTCTCAGGGTCCACAACTGGATTCAAGGTGCCTGGTTTACACAATTTGATTTGACTTCTAAGATTGGAAGTCTCCACTGTGTGAACTTGGCTCTTGGTGGGCTGCTCCAGGTCTTCCCCCCTGGTGGAGAATTATTCTAGGTCTTTCATGTATTATGTGTGTACATATTTAATTCATTGGCTTGATCTGAAATCAAAGTTGTTCATGAATATAGAGCTGGAGAAGAGTTGATTGCTTATATTATCCATTAGATTAATATTTATTGAGTTCTTCTATGGTTTATTTCCCCATTGTGCTAGATTTTTATTGAGGTTATAAAGATGTTTAAGAAGATCTCTCTCCTTGGGGCATTGATAGTCAGAAAATAGAATGTTAATGAAGGAAGAAGGTTGGGGCATGTGCTAGCAGGTGGAAGAAGGCGTGGAATTCCTCAGGAAAGCACTCCTGGAGAAGGAAGGCTGATAGTCCAGTGGGTTGGGGATCAGGCCGGCTGGTCTTAGAAGGAAAACATCCTTCATTTGAGGCCTACTCTGCATTTTCTGCCTCTCAGCTTGTCTTTAAAATGTGAAAATTTTTATTGATTCCCTTCTAGTGCTAATGAGAGAATGACTTTTAAAAAAGGGCTGTGGAAACTTCTGAGGTTAGAAAATGAAAGCATACTCCCTACAGGCAGGCTGACATTGTCATAGCATGGTGGAGGTGTGGCTCCAGGAAGGACCTGGAACTGCAGGCACCACCTCTGCTGACCTGTTGGTCAGTGTGCTGTGTGAATAGCGGGCCTGAGAATGGCAGCTCCATGTGCTGGATTCACTCATCTCCTGCAGCAGAGCTGAGCAAAGGCCCAGAATATGACTCCAACCTAGCTTCTGAGCAGCTGTGCTGGGAGTGCAAGGGCTTCCAAAGCCATGTCTTCAGTCTCCCTTGGGAGAGTAGATCCAAGCAGGTTGTCCCTGGTGTGTGTCTCCACTGCAGTTTGATGGCCTGCCCCTGGAGGAGGAGGTGTTGGAGGGCGATGGGACTCTGGAGAAAGAGCTTGCTATTGACAACATCATCGGGGAAAAGATTGAGATCATCGCGCCAGTGAACTCCCCTTCATTGGACTTCAATGACAATGAGGACATCCCCACCGAGCTTAGTGACTCTTCAGACACTCATGATGAAGGTGGGCATTTGCACATAAGTTCAGAGTGGACCTTTGAAGGCTTGAAGGAAGTCTCTATGTGAGGACTAGAGTTACCCTTCTGGACTAGAGGGAAAGGCATTGCTGAGTCAGTGGACTTTGGAGACTCCCCTTCTCTCTGATGACTCTATTTTTTGTTTGTTTGTTTACAGATATATATTTTTAAAAAATTTTCAATCTGTTCTTTTTAGATACACATGACAGAAGTGTATTTTGACATATCACACATAACTTCCCATTCTTGTGATTGTACATGATATAAACTCCATATGAACTTAGGAAAGTTATACTATATTCATTCTACTGCCTTTCCTATTCCCTTCCCCTCTCCCTTTTCTTTATTCCCCTCTGTCTAATCCAGTGAACTTCTGTTCTTCCCTCCACACCCCTCATTGGGTGTTTGCATCCGCATATCAGAGAGAACATTCGGCCTTTGGTATTTGGGGATTGGCTTATTGCACTTAGCAAGATAGTCTCTAATTGCTCTAAGTAAATGCTTCTTTCTTTGCTCCCACATAGACTTAGCTCCCAGGACCTAACATGGGAACATGCTCCTTCTTATATTCCATGGGGAGAATAGTAGTATTCCAGTAGTCATTAATAATGTTAGTTGATGGTTCTCTTCCACTGAATTGGTAGTAGTATATTTCTACTGAGTAGACAAGAGTACCCTTGTTCATCTGTAGACAGTCTCTCCTAGAGGGCCCCTGCAATGGCTTTCTAACTTTTGACTGGTTTACCTACCCAGACCTAGGCTCCAGGGCTAGGACAGATGCCTGCACAGGTTGGGTACCACCTAATACCAGAGGTGCCATTCACAACATTCTCCCCCCTGTGCCAATATAATGCCTCATTTGTATATTCCTAGGCACTATCCCTATATGATTTTGCTGCTGTGACTAAAGGATTTGACCAGAACAACTATAGAGTTGTTTAAAGTAAAATAAATAAAGTTTATTTGAGGGCTCACAGTTTCAGAGGTCTTAGTCCATAGAAGGCTGGCTTCATTCCTTGGGGTTTGAGGTGAGGCTGAACATCATGATGGGAGAGGGTGGCAGAGGGAAGCAGGTCACATCACGGTGAACAAGAAGCAGAGAGAGACTCCACTTTCCATATAAAAAATACATACCCCATAGCCATGCTCCAAATTAACCAGTTCCTCAAGTTGCACCCCACCTGCCTCCAGCTACCACCCAGTTAATCCCTTCAGGGATTAATTCACTGATTATGTTAAGACTCATAATCCAATCATTCCTCATCTGAACCTTCTTTCATTGTCTCACACATGAGATTTTGGGGGACACCTCACATCCAAACCATAACACTGTCCTTCTCTGGATCCCAGGCTGCCCGAAATGTCAGCCTCCTACCTGTCAGCCCATGCAGGTGCAGACATTAGGGACTGTGGGGTGCTGGAAACTTGGGAGGAGCATGTAGACTTAGTGGCTCACCTGTACCCTCAGGCACCTTCTTCTGTAACAATAAATATTCAGAACATTACAGGTGAGATTCTCTGGGTCGCAGAGGAATATGCTCTGCAGGTTGTCTGTCATGGATTACGTTCCAGGTGGGTACAGCATCCCTGAGAACTGAGGAAGCATCACTTTGGGAACCCTTCTTTACTTTGCTCTGTGTGTCTGTCCCTTTGACTCATTCTGATCTATATATCATATATATATGTGTGTGTGTGTGTGTGTGTGTGTGTATGTGTGTGTATATATATATATATATATATATATTGTTGTTGTTGTTGTTATAATAAATCTATGATGATTTTTTTAAAAGAGGAGGTATTGACATCATGGGGGACATAAGCTGCCTATGTATTTAGAAGTCATAGCCCACCAGGCCAACCCAGGCCTTGGATGCTTTTCTATAAACAGATATTTTTAGTAACCACCCGTGCTAGTGGTTACTCTGTCATTTGTTGTCAATTGTGCCTAACTTAGTAGACTCTGAGTAACCCATCCTTTAGAATTCAGATACCCTCAGGAAGTAGTCAGTTGTTTGAATTTTAGTCTAAGATCCACTTGCTTTGGGAGATTTGAAAACGTAGAACCATATACAACCATGTTGCCCCATAGTAACACTGGCTACATATATAAAGGCCTTCTCAGAGTAAAGTGCACAGAGGTGTTGGAGCATCCTAGTTTGTGTACATAAACTATAATGTTTGTATAAAGACCAAATCATCGAATGGCTCATTTCTCAGACCATTTCCTATAGTCAAGTGACCTGTGACTATAGTACATTCCCAAACTCTTTGCAAAGGATGAATGGAAAGTGTGTCAATTAAAGTAAAGAGTGTGCGTCTCAGCTTGACAGAAGCAAAGTCATAAACAGAGGCCATGGGCTCAGCCTACCTGACCCTTGGTGGCAGTGTGTGCATTAGCCACAGAGACATTAGTGCTCTGGGAATGTCCCTCGGGCCCCCTCCCTTCTCTCATTCCCCTCTAATCCCTGGTAATCTTTTATGTGCAGGGGAGGTCCAGGCCTTCTATGAAGACCTGAGTGGCCGGCAGTACGTGAATGAGGTTTTCAACTTCAGTGTGGACAAGCTGTATGACCTTCTCTTCACCAACTCGCCCTTCCTGAGGGATTTTATGGAGCAGCGGAGATTCTCTGGTCTGATTTGCAGGGCTGGCCCCTCCCTGACTATTCACCCTCCCTCCCTCTGCATTCTCTCGCTTCTCCTTCCTCTTTTCCCTCTCTTCCTATGCAACCCACCTTTCCAGGGTACCTTCTGGCCCAGACCCCCTCTTTCTGGCCTTACATGTTGCTGGAGCTCCCTCAGGGCCCTGTTTTCCTCTGTTCCCTCAGTGCTGTGTTTTTACATATGCCCTTGTCCTTCAAGTATCAAGAACTTGCCAGTGATCAAGACTTATTACACGTCTTGGTCTCTGCTCTCTGCCTTCATGGGGCTCACTGTCTAGTCAAGGGCAGCAGTGCTCCCTCACCAGAAGCCACCCTCTCTTTGCCAGGCACCTTGCATTATCTCATTCAGCCCTCATACCTGCCTTGTGTACAAAGTATTAGGTTCCCCCCACATGATGACCTTTCAGGACACTAAAACCCATGCTGTTATTATTCTCCTACCTAATGTAATTACAAGGGGCAGAGCCAGGATTCATATCTAGGACTCTGGGGTTCATGCTTTGACCCTCCCTGTTCCTCTCTCATTCTCTCCCCACATTTCTTCCCACATCAGGGACATAGCACCGACCTAGCAGGACTGCTAAGCCTCTTGCTCTGAGAAAAAGCATTGGGGGTAACTGTGAGCCCCTCTGCCAGGAGGGAACATGCTGAGAACACGGGAGGTCAAACCCTAGAGGCAAGGACTTGTTCCCAAGGGATCCCAGGCCCTTGCCACAGTAACTCCAGTGTTGCTAGCACCCCCGCAGGTGGCCCCAAGACCTCCTGCCCCAGCCTAGGGAACAATCAGCATTCTGGAGCCCTGTGTAGAATTTCGGCAATGCTACAATGAGCCTCTTTTTGCTCTGACTCCCCCTCCTCCTGCCCTCCCTCCAGGCCCTCAGGCTCCCATTGGCTTCCTTTGGGGGGCCTGTCTAGTCAGCACAGAAGGAGGAGTTCAATGGGGAGATTCGGGTGTGGGGAGCAGTGCTACTTTCCCTCCCTCACTTCAGGGCCCTTCTCCACCCTCAGATATCATCTTCCATCCATGGAAAAAGGAAGAGAATGGAAACCAGAGCCGAGTGATTCTTTATACCATCACCCTTACCAATCCCCTAGCTCCCAAAACTGCCACTGTCAGGGAGACACAGGTGAGCAGGAAGAAGGCAGAGGCAAAGGAGAATGGGCTGGGAAGTCCTGCTCTGGTGTGAAGGGTGAGGGCTGGTGTACGGGGGACGGCTCTGGGTGCAGGTGTGCTTTAACACCCATCTGGATGGCAGCACCTTGCCAGCTCTGAGGCCACCCTTTCCCACGGTTCTGCATCTTCTGTTGCAGGGTGTGGGTGGGGTGGGGAGGTGGGAGAAACCACTCCTCCTCTTGCTTCTTTCCAGTGTTGGCCAGTGAACTTTTTCTCCCCACAGACCATGTACAAGGCAAGCCAGGAAAGCGAATGTTACGTGGTAGACGCGGAAGTCCTCACCCACGACGTGCCCTACCACGACTACTTCTACACCATCAATCGCTACACGCTCACTCGCGTAGCCCGGAACAAGAGTCGACTCAGGTGGGTGTGTGGGGCCCAGAGGGTTCAGATGGGTTCTTTATGTCACACAACGTTCATTAGCTCCCTAGGGAGAAGGAGGATCCTTCTGGGTCTTGATTCTACCTGCTGGCTCTTGATTCTATCTTCTCTCTGAAGCCTTCTGTGACTTCCCATCTCCCCGTCCTGACAGTTCCTTATTCTCTCCACCATGTATCCCTTCATCACTCGTACATCTCTGTAATGAGACCTTTATCACCACCACTGTTTATTGATTGGCTGTGCTTTACATGTTACTATGTAGGAACCTTAACTACATTCATTAGAATCTTTAGAATGGCCCAAGGAGGCAGATTTATTCTCACATTCAGATATATAACTTTGCCAAGAATCATGTTCCCAGTTAACACTGAAACTCAGCTCTTAGAAACAAAAGCCTGGGTTCTTTCCCATGTCACAATTTCCTGTTTGCCTCCCCTGCTGGACTTTTAGCTCCACAAGAACAGGAGTTCCAGCACCCCCCCACCTCCCTACCCACAACCTGGTTCCCGGCTTGTAGCACTGGGCATGCTCATGAGAGTCCAGGAAGTGTTGTTTGAATGAGTTCTGGGCACTCAGAGAAAGAAATTTAGACCCTGAAATCATAAGAAGTGTGTTGTCTAATTGAAAAGTCACCTGTATCATAGACCAAATTCTTTTGATTTTTAAGGAGCAAGAAACTCATTGATGTAGTTCAAATAAAATGGGAGTTTAGTAACAGGTTCTGCAAAGATCTCTTGGGAGTTAGAAAAAGCTCAACATCTGAACCTCAGGAACACCCTGCATCTTTCTTAACCTCTTAGGTGTTGCTTTTATTTTGGAGTGCCGTGGAGAGGAGCATTTGTGCTGCTTGCCTAACCTAAGCCTTTCTTCTCTTTTCCTTTTCTCTCACCTCTCTCCTGTTTCTCCTGTCCTTTGTCCACCCACCCCCACCAAGAGTCTAGGTTTCTTAGTTCTACTTTCCTCAGATCTTTCAAATGCATGTCCCATCTATGCACTCCACAGAGAGCTAGCTTTGACCTTTGTAGGAAAGTGCTCATACTTCATCTAGTGACTAGGTCTTGAGCATCAGGCTGATGTGGAGGCAGCATCCCTGAGGGGATAAGCAGAGCAGGTAGTCTTAAACATGGGGTATACGAGCTGGGAGAATCTGTTGACAGAGGCTCGTGCCCACGGAGAACGAAAGGAGCAAGACTGTGTATAGTAAGGAAAGAGCTCAGTATTCCAGAGGTAGGGGCAGTAGCATGACCAGTGACTGGGGAAGGGACTACCTGAGAAGAGCAAGAGCTGGTGAGGTCTTGGGTGCAATGGAGAAGCAGGAACTGGGGCCAGGAGCAGAAGACACTCTTACAGGTGGAAGTAATGAGACCCCAGAGCCTGACTTGTATTTGAAGGACTCAGCTTCAGCTCTGAACCTTCCCTTGGCTAGCTGGCAGCCTGCTTGGCACCCATCTGGAGCCCCCTGGATGGAAGCCATGTGGCAAAATGAAAGAATTCTGGGTTTGGAGTCTGAAGCCCTTGTTGTTAGCCTTTGACCTGCTTAAATATTCTAAATTTCAATTTTCTCAACTATAAAATGAGAATAAATCCCAATGACCTCAGAGGATAGCCAAGGAGATGAGAGGTGAAAGGACTTTTGAATATGTAAAGTGCAATACAAACGTGAAACTGCCTTTGCCTTAAACATGAACTTACCTTTCCCGGCAGAGGAGGGTCCACCTAGGAAATGACTTGTCTTGTTTTTGGCTTGTCCCTCAGGGTCTCTACAGAGCTGCGATACCGAAAACAGCCCTGGGGGTTAGTAAAAACCTTTATCGAGAAGAACTTCTGGAGTGGGCTGGAGGACTACTTCCGCCATTTAGGTGGGTACTACCCTCATTGTTGCTGGTTGAACTGCAGGACCTGGGTGACCTGTATGGTTGTCACCATTCAGCACGTGGGCCCCTGGCACGTGGCAGGGGAATGAGAAACTGAGATAACAGAGTAGTTTTGTGTGATCTTTATATTTGCCCCCCAAAATGGATACCAAATTTGGCATGTAAGTGAAATGTGTGCATTTTTTCAAGAGACTAGTCTATCATTTTATGAGATCATTAAGGCAGCTATAATACCCCCCTGACATGAACCCCTAATCTAGTGATACTGGTAGTAATTGTGTTATAAGAAGGATCTGAAAATTGCCTATGGATGCATCTATTTAGAAGGTGTGTAATATGCCCCAAATTACACACATGTGGATGTAGACATTGAGACATGGCTCTATTGAACAATCCAGAAGAGGGGTTTGGGCAGGGTTAGGATCCAGAAATGCCTCCCACTGGTATCCATGAGGATCACTGTACCCACCTGGCCAACTTTGGAGGGTAATATAGGAAAATGTTTCCTGTACTCCTTCTGGAGGCAGGTATGTGAAGGTGGCCTCTGATGTGGCCCTGTTGTCTGTGCTAGAGAGTGAGTTAACCAAAACGGAGAGTACCTACCTGGCTGAGATGCACAGACAGTCTCCCAAGGAGAAGGCCAGCAAGCCCCAGACCGTGCGGAGGAGAAAGCGTCCCCATGCCCACCTGCGGGTACCTCACCTGGAAGAGGTAATGAGCCCCGTCACCACACCCACCGATGAAGATGTGGGCCACAGGATCAAGCACGTGGCAGGTGTGTTCCAGTTGGGGACAGTGGTGTGGGTTGGGTTTTGGGCAGGAGCTACATGCCCTTGCCAGGGCACAAATGTGAACACTCCTTTTGCACCTTGGGTGTAATTTGTATATGATTCATGTGTAACTCACTAAATCTGAGGCTCCTCATGCTCCATCTACTTCTCCTTGCCGGTTAAGTTCCTCAGCTTCACTGAACCCTTACATGTACTCTGCTTAACAAAAATTGCCTTTGGGCTTATGACACCTAAGCTCTATGGCTATCTGTGTAGGCTCATGTATGCAGCCTCCACATTCTCGGGAAATACACTAAGAAGCTGAAACCCAGATCCTAGAGATGAATTCATTATTACGAAGGTCAAGGAATCCAAAATAGTCAAGGGTCTGCCCACGAAGGCTGTGTACTCCCCCGGTAGCTCCTCCTCTTCCCATCCAGCCTTTCACAGCCTCATGTCTTTACTCAGTCATGGAAACATGGGGTGATAAGGGGCCTAGAGAGTGATGAATGCCATATTTCATAAACCGTGCTCCACATGTACCTGTGAGTTCATCAGCGCTACATGGGGACAGGGAAGGAGGCGGAGGAAGAGAGGAGAGTGCCAGTCTTCCATGTCCCTTAGTCTCGCCCAGAGCACTCCCATGGGTATATGTTTTACACAGGAAATTTCAACTACTGTTGCATTTTAATAAACTGATTCTCAGGTCGCCTGACTTGCCCAGCATTGTGTTATCCAGGAATTTAGGGCTGGAAGCAGCTGCATCTAGTCCTTTCCCAGAGCTGTTTCCTCTTCCTTAGGCCAAGACCACTGTCCTACATCATTATATCTTAGCCACACAGATCTACTGATTTTCTCATTTGCTTAGTGGTTACCTGAACCAACCCCTGACCTTGCCCTTGAGGGGCTTATCTCCTGTTGCAGGGCTGGGCATAGCCACCATACCCATCAGCAGCACCATGGACCCCTCCCTGATGTTTCTTGCCTGACCATTATGTCAGCAGTTAGTAAACTTGTGGGCCATGACAATGGCAGCGTATTTATTCTCCCACAGGTTCCACGCAGACACGACATATCCCCGAAGACACTCCCAACGGTTTCCACCTGCAGAGTGTGTCTAAGCTGCTGCTGGTTATCAGCTGTGTGTAAGGAACTCTTGGCTGTCCTCCCATCCCTGCCCCAATGCCTTCCCTTTCCTGACTGGTGCAGGAAAATCATCTCCCATATCTCAAAGCATTTATTTAGTACCTTTTCCCCTGTTTTTTCTCTTTTCTTTATTTCTCTCTTACTTTTTTTTTTTTTAATCCTCCATTGTTCTCTGCCTGGATCAGTTACTTAGTCTGTCATTTCTCACCTCTTTGCTTCTTTTTTCTCTATTTTACTCAGCACTAATGCTGGTCTTCTAGGGGAAAAAAATGCTGTATGTAGCATCCATGCCCTTGAGGAACTCAGTGAGTGAAAGAGATAGGGCATTTGGACTTCTGCACAATAGGATAACTGCTAACATAGAGAGACTACAGAACACTTTAGGCATCCAGTCATTTGCAAGAGATGTTCTGACTGCCTGCTCTGTACCAAGCATTAGAACCATGTATTCATGAAGCCCATGCTTTGGTGGGGCAGCCAGAAGAAATCAGTGACTACAGCACAGGAAAAGTAGATGCTTATTTTAATATACATGGTTTATAATTGCTATGACATTATGAAACCAAAGGTTCAAGAACTTGCATAGAAAGTTACTGAGTTAGGTAGGTGGGAAGTTGAAACAAGTGAAGACATAAGATAGGAGATCGCAACTAACGATCTGATGGGCAAGTGTATGCCATCACTTGCCCAGGATTTTTTAAACCATTTCAAGCAGGAAGCAGCTAGGACAGCTAAAGAGAGCTCTTCTGCTTGCCATTGCCTGGCATCCTACCCCTTCCTTGTGGGGGTGAGCTATATAAGAGAGTGTATGTGCCATAGGGGTGGGTGGGAAACATGACAGCTAACCAGACGTGGGCTCTATTGAGCCCTGGGCACCTGACCATCTCAAGTTTAATTTTGCTTCTATAACTTCCCCAGCCATTCCTGAAATAGGAAGGTAGAGCAATTTGGACAGTGTTATCTTCAAGGAAAATCTAGAGGAAACCCACAAGAAACATGGTCAAATTTATATTATGGCAATATGGCCAATGGATTAGAGAAGAAAAGATTGGAGGCAGGCAGGTCCACTGAGTAAATCACAGTGGTATAACTGAGAGAGTCTGTCAGACTGAGGTGAGGGACTAGATCTGAGAGGTTCCAGAAGGGAAAGACTCATTAACCATTTGGTTATATTTTTGATATGCTCCTGATTCAAGGAAATCTAATTGGTTGTATCATTAACAAAAATGTGGAATTAGTGGAAAATTGTCAGAAAAGACACTTTGGGGCTCCACGTATGTCAATACTTCAGGTTATCCAGGTGGAGGTGGCAGGTACCTGTTGATATGGACCTGCCACTTATGAGACAACTGTAGGCTGCAGCCACAGATTAATTTTCCCTGGCATTAAAGCCATGGGTGCAAATGACACCATTCATGCAATGTATGGTATGTTATGGAGGCAGGGCCAAGGATGACCCTCGGGACTCCTGACAGGAGAAAACCCCTTGAGGAGCATGAGGAACCTTCTTAGTAACCTTTCTTGAATGAATAACATAAAAGTAGTCTTTTGACTCTAAGAAACCAAGACATCATTGCAAAATTAAGTTCAAAGACAACTGTAACCAGTGAGATTCACGTTTAGCAACACTAATTTAATGTGATTCTGGCATTTTTCATTTAAAACTGTATGTCTGGTATTGGATTTTATTAAATGGAAAACCACAACATCTAGTCCTGGAGTTAAGCTGTCTCTGCATTTTGACTTGACTTCATCAGATAGCATGATATTAACTAGCTTCTGGGCTTTGTTTGTTTAGGATAATAATCAGACTTCTAATTGAACATAATAGGAACCAGGCTTAGGGTCTGGTGAGAGCCAGCCAGAATGTGAAACAGACTGGCATGGCACCAATTGTCCCTGTGTCTGGCAGACTCCTGCCACCATCCACCTGCCATGCAGTGACTCAGCCTCCCACCTCTTTTCTCTGTTTAGACCACTGCAGAACCTCCAGCTAGACAGCACATGGGGGTGTCCCTTGACCTTTACTTTGCACAGTCAGAATTATAAACAGTAACCCACACGCAGGCAGGAAGATCATGTGCGGCACTTGAAGAGGTGGGCGGTCAGATGATCCAGTGTGTGCTAATATATGGACAGACTGGATTACTGAAATGCAGCACCGAATTTAAAAGCTCTCATGTAGAACTCAGAATACCTCCAGGGATTTGCAGCAACCACTAGAAGGAAGACAGAGTTCCATAAGGCCAGAAACACCAGTGAGAAATACAGACTTCCCCTCAGGTACACATGGAAAAGCCTAGCTAGCCTGAGCATTTCTTTCTCCTTTGCCGTTCTTTTTTTTGCCTGTTTGTTTTACCTTTCCTTTTTTTATCCTCTTCTCTCTTCCTATGTGTATCTATACCTCCTCCTTTCATGATAAGAGCCACCCCTTGTGATGGGCTTACTGTATGCCAGTGTTTTTGACATACATTTCACTCATGGATCAGCCCCAGTGGGGTAGGTATTATTGTCCTGATTGAGAAAACTGGGTTTCAGAGAAGCTAAGAAGTTTGATTAAAAGTTAAGAAATAATGGGTTGAGCCAGGATTTGTCCCCAGTGTTCGATATCTGTGGGTCCTCTCTTTACCTGTCTTTCTCCATCCTATGAGCTTCTGTCACAAAATGACCTTCAGGCAGCCATGGAGGCCAAGAGAAGACAATTTACACAGTGTCCCTGTAACTCTCCATTCTCCACGGGGCCCTCCATCCCCTAGTTATCCTCACTCCTCCCTGTCTCTGGCCCAGACTCTGGGAGGCCTCAACTGGTCCCTTCTGGAGCATGGCAGGTGCGGGGAGGGAACATGGCAGCCTCAGGGAAGTTCGGTCAGCACCTGTAAGGCATATCTGGGAAGAGCTAGAGATCCCATTGAAATTCTTCCTTCAGTTCCACCCTTCATTTGTGTCCTAACATTGGGTCCATGGGGAGAATCTTTTCTTAATTCAGCACCTGCAAAATACCAAGGGTCACCGTGCTGTGCTCTCTTGCTCTTTCCTTGCTGGGTCTCCTCATCTGTCATGTCTTTGCTGCTCGTATTTCCTTCTCACATAGGCTTACTTGCCGTCTGGCTCAGTTCAGGTGCAGTTTCCTCCTTCCCCACACTCCTGTTTCTAACCTCTGCCTCCTCCCCATTTTTCTTCCTTGCTCCCATTAGGATCTGTTTCAGGTACTGGCTCTATGATTATTCCCTTTACTCCCTCATCTTTTTTCCACTCCACCTTACATCTCTTCCCACAGGCACCCAGATTCCGGGTGTCTATATGTCCTCCCTTCCTGATGCCTTCACACCATACCTCTCTCCATGGCTTCAGTGGTGTGCCCCAACCCCTCCAGATGAGGCTGCTTCTCTCTCTCCCCCTGCACTCACTGCATCCCTCTGGCTCACTCACTCATTTGCTGCAATGCTTTGGATGACCCAGTGGGCAGGCACGGAAGCCTCTGGGATGGGGGAGATCCCTAGCTCCTATTCCGTCTCATTATCATTGCTTGTCTCCCATGTCTCCCTCCTAGTCTGGTGCTGCTGGTCATCCTTAACATGATGCTCTTCTACAAGCTCTGGATGTTGGAATACACCACCCAGACCCTTACTGCCTGGCAGGGTCTAAGGCTCCAAGAAAGGTAATCCTGCCTCCACCCTCTCCTGGCCCCCATCTCTACCCCACCCAGGCTGAGTCCTGCCTCCTGCCTCCCCTGGGACTGACTGCCCCATTGCCCTTGCTCAGGAGATAACCCTTTGGGTTATCCCTATAGTTTTCATCTACTTCCAATTTGGGGCACTGGGGACTCAGAGGCAGGAAGCAGAGGACAAAGCACTCTGATGTGACTCTCTGTCCTTTAGGGGTCTGGGAGCACAGGAGAGTCCGCTGAGCATAACTCCAGCTGCTGGGGCACCCCTTCTTCTACCCCACAGGTTACCCCAGTCTCAGACAGAATGGGCCCAGCTCTTAGAGTCCCAACAAAAGTACCATGATACTGAGCTCCAAAAGTGGAGGGAGATCATCAAATCCTCAGTGATGCTCCTAGACCAGGTGAGATGCCCCGCCTTCTCTGCTTCCCCTAGTTGAGATAAAGATCCTTCCTTTTTGCTCTGAGAAACATCACCACCTCTATCACCAGCCTTCCATTGATATTTTCCTCTCCTTCATTCTTTTCCCTGGCCATTCACTATTCTAATGTTAAAGCCCTTCCTGAATAGGCTATTGGAAACAGAGGTACATTCCCCAAAATAACAATTAAAAAAAAAAAATACATTGGATTTGTAGCAAGAAGACTTTTTTTTTTTTTTGTAGGTTAGATGGAAGGAGTACTTATTTATTTACTTATTTTGGTAACCTATAGTCATCGAACAGGCATTAAAAAACAAACTCCCCTTTTACAGAGATTCGTCTTCCCAGAGGACATATCTAATTCCTTTTCATCTATACCATCCCTTCTCTGACCCTCAAAGGCCCTGTACCAAGAAGATGACTATTATGTCTTTACTTGACATTTTTTTAGTACAATTGCCTGTTTTCCTCAGAAAACCTAAATCCAACTGTTTTAAGAAAATCATCCTATGGCAGGCAAAAAAAAAAAAGAAAAGAAAAGAAAAAATCAATAATTAGCTTAGTTTCCTTGGAAGAAGGAGCTTTCTTCTTCCCTCCAGAAAAATTTAAAAATCTTTTAAAAATGCCCCCAGGGCATTGTCAAGACTTCAGGAATTACCTTTGCTATCAAGAGAATTAGGTAAGTAATAGACCTAGAATTTATCCTGCTACATTAAAATTTCTATTCCCAAAGAGGTGTCATTCTGATGTTTTGTACTTAGCTAGCCCTGAGCTGGAATTCCTGCTTTGCTCTAATTAGTTTTTTGACCTGGAGCAAGAGGTGTTAACATAGCATCAGTTTCCTCATTTATAAAATAGGGATTGTGTCTGTAACTCTGAGAAACTGCCATCAGAATTTGATGGCACCTGGAAGGCACTCACTAACATCAAACCTTACTTCCCCTTCATAGCTTGGTTTTGTGCTGAAATAAGGAGAGATATTCTCAATACAATTAATAAGACCCAATTTAGCATGTTTATTAGAATACCAGATGTAGCTTTGGAGCTATATTTAAGGAGGGCATTTCTGGGGGCAACGTGAGCACACCAGTTTCCAGACATCGGGATCAACAGGCGAAGGGTTAGTTTACATGTAAAACTCCAGAGCTCTGTTACGGCTACAAGTTACAAGGAGTCAAATTTTTGAGTCATCTAATAAAAACAGACTCCTTATGGTTAGAGAAAAGGAGTGGGCTGCTTTGGAGGACTGAGGTTCCAACATTAAAAGTGCTTAAGAATCACAAGATGATGTTGGACAAGGAATGTAAAAATTAAATGGGAGGCAGTTTGGAATGGACACCCCAGGGATCTCTTCCAATTCTAGAATTTTCATTTTTTATATTTTTGGTTCTGAGGATTGAAATCAGGGCCTGGTGCCCGCTAGGCAAGCACACCCTACCACTGAGCTATACTCCCAGTCCTTCCAACTCTAGAATTCTATTTCAAGGTGGTTCCCCTTCACTGGGACTTGGGCTGTCAGATTCATAGCCTCATGGATGCTATGGTGTGATGGGCCCCTTCTGATTTCCCCACTGGCACTGCCCTATCTAGGCTCCATTCCATGCCACCTGGAGGAGAAAGACGATTGTAAGCCAGAGACAGTCTGGATTTGTTCTGGGCCTTTACAGAAGGCTGAGATTGGAGGAGACAAGGCTGAAAGAACAGTGTGGCAAAGTGTATAAAGACAGGAGACAGAATGTTCTAAATCCATATTAAGGAAGTGTTAGTCTAAAGTGGCTCCTTACAGCAGCCAAAAATGCTTAGAGAAGAGTTTCTTATTTCAGTGGTACTGAGGGTCAAAAATCGCCAAGACATGGCAAGATCTACCTAAGGGCTTTACAATGCTGTCTTAGTTGTCCCTACCCGAGACTGCGCCCCTGGAAACCATCCTGACTTTAGAGTAGCCCTGTGGCAGGTGCTGCTGTATGGAGAAGCCCACTGAGAGCCCAACCTGGGCCTGGGGTGGGGTTCCCTGTCTTGCAGATGAAGGACTCACTCATCAATCTTCAGAACGGCATCAGGTCCCGGGACTACACATCCGAAAGCGAAGAGAAGAGGAACCGTTATCATTGACAAGGCAGGAACAGGGGTGGCTGCAAGAGGCCTGTGCAATACATGTACATAGACCCTATAAATATATATATATAAATATATATATATACAGAATATAAATATATATTATATACAGATTTTAAAAAGAGATAATGCCTATGTACCCGGGAGAAGGAGCGGGACCTCCCGCCCCCTGTGCTGGCCGGAGCAGCGTTTTCCCTCAGTGGAGGGGCCGAGGAGGGCAGGGACCACCTCTCAGCACCGACCTCCCCTGATCCTCCTCCTCCCATCCTCTGTTCCTCACCCCTTCCCTTGCTGGCCATTCTTGGCTCTTAGAAGGGAAATGTCACTGAGCCAAAGTTATGCCTGTGAAGACCCTTGGGGTCTTGAAAGAAGTCTCAAGGGGGCATTGCTTAAGGTGCTTCATCCCCCAATCCCCTTTTGATTTGTTTCCAAAATAAACAAGAATCTGTTCTTCCCTACCCTCACGTTTCCCCAGATGTTCTCTTGGACACAGAAGCATCAAGGGCAGGAGCCCAATGTAAACTCTCCCATAGGAGGCCATTGATAATGGACCATGCTAGGAGCCAGGTGGAGAGGACTGTGAAAAGCTAGCAAGGCTGCATTTGTGGGATTGTGCTTGGGAGCTGCAGGCTCCTGAGCGCCTGCATTCTGAAGGGTTTTCTCCTCAATCACCCCTGCACCTTGCTCTGACCTGTGTAGGGTGTGGACCTAATAAGGGCTGGGAATCTGTAATTCTCCCACCCCCTTTCTCTCTGGTCTTCACTCAGGCTGGATCTGGGTGAAGTGTCACTTTTTAGTGCCTAAAGTCCTATTGTTTCTCTGTGCCCTAAGAGCACATTGTTTATTAGCCAGGGTGGAACATTTTTTGACCTTGTTAAACCCCTTTTAGTGGTTAGAGACAAGTCGGGTCTGTGGCTCTAATTCTTTCACTTTGAGCTGTGAGTTTGATTTTTCTGGATGAAACAGGGTGTCCTAGGCCCTCGAGGGTTTGAGAGAGAGATCACCCTAGCAACCTATGGATTGCAGGGTCTGCCCTAGAATACTGTGTGAGTAGGGAGCACCAGTAGCCAAGCCACTCAGTGAGTTATGAACATCATTTACTCTTGGTAAAAACAAGCCTTAATCAGTTGAGATGACTAAGACACTGTGTGTGGTAGAACATCTAGGCCATGAGAGAGAAGGATTTGGCAAGGGTGCATTTGCTTGGGCAAGAAATAGCTAGGCGTATCTCGTCACTGCAATCCTGAGATTCTTGGGTTTGGGAGTGGGATTTCTGGTGGGTTTGGGTGCAAATCCTTCCCGGGTTCCTGGCCCCAGAGAGGTAACGAGGTCACTATGGAGTAGAAAGAAGATGGTAGTTAAGGAGCATGAGCTAGCTAGCACCTTTTCAGAGTTGACCCACGAGGGCCCATGCTTTCCTCTGGACTCATGGGCCCTTTCTGGGCACGTTCCTCATCCTTCATACACTCACTTCTGTTTCTCCTTATGATGACCAGGGGAGTCCTGCCAGTCCTGGGCATAGCTCATGGAAAACTGGTCATTTAAGAACAATAGCCAGTTTGGCCAGAAGAGCTTCCAAGCTTGTTCCATCTCTTGTTCCAAAATTACAGATTTTCTCTGTAATTTAGCCCAAACAGAAAGTTAAATCCCTTTCTTAGAATGGCCTGAGCATTTCATTTTAGCCACTTAAAGAATAGTTGTTGACCTTTCCATCTGTCTAAGAATAAGGCCTTGGTATTTCCTCAAGAGCAGAATGAGAAAGCCTGAGGATACTTTCCCAGGTCATCCTTTGAAGAAAGAGAATGGAAAGGCTCTGGGTGGTCAGCCAGCATTGATATTCCTCTTCTGGAAAAGTAGAGGTGAGGAAAACCATCAGTGTAAGGATGCATATGCCCAGATGACAGCTGGTTACCCCTCAGTTCTTGTCCAGGACTTTCAGAGAAAGACATTGGTGAGGGTCAGGGCCCTTGAGCCCTGAGCCAATAAATGAGGAATGGTACAGATGGATAGAAATTTTCCCCTTGGGGTAGCCAAAGCCAACATTATTCCCCAAAACTCTGGCAAACAGCAATTGTAAATTCTTAAATTTATTCCATGCATTATTTATATTTAAGTTATTTGACCACTAAAGATGCCATGGACACTTTAAGGTGACTTAAAGGGGGTTCATCGCTGAGAGTAAAATGACCAAAGCGTATTTGACCAGAGAGTTCATTGCTTTTGCTTTAACTCTCAGGATCAATCAGAGGAGGAGCAAGGAAGAGGGAAACAGGCTGTTTGAGGAACCCTCCTTTTTTTCTGGTGATTTGAACCCAGGAAAAAATTGTGCACACCAAGAGAACGTCCCCTAAGAGTCATGGCTCTTTCATGAACTCTTTGTTCTAACATTGTTTTGGCTTTTAAATCAGGGTTGGGGGAAAACTATTCACTCCCCTGCAAAATCTTTTCCTCCTTAGTCAATAACTTGCAAAAGAAAAGTGAATTCACCCTTGCGATAAGTCTCGGAGTGAAACAAATACATAAATACTTGGCATTAATTCCTGGCCAGTAGTGTGGTGAGTAGTTGTCTACAAGGGAGCATCAAAGCCACCACTGATTGTGTTATTTCCTCCAGTCAGTGATATCTATATATATAAATATACAGATACAACACAACTATAGATAAAGATTTTTCCTTTTTTTGCCTGTTTCTCTTGACGTGAGAATGCTGGGGTTACACAGAAGTCTTTCTGAGAGGATTTCACTCAATTCTAAAGAGTTGGCAGAGTTTCTCACCTGTTGAAGCACAGCTACAGGGTCTCAACTTCCACTCCAACTTACAGTGGAGGAATTTGCCAGATTGGCCTCAGAGAGGCCAGTCGTGTCTGCAACCTTCTCCCCCTTCCTGTGCTCCTCCCTGGGACAAGGGAACAATATCCAAGACTAGCAGGATCCTCAACTTGACACTCTCAGCAGGAGAACTGGACTTGTTCTGTGTCATTGGGCAAGTCGCCCCCTGCTGCTGAGCTTCAGTACCCTCCTGTAACAGGAGCCGGCAGGGCTAGATTATTCCTAAGGCAGGTTCTAGCTTTGGCTTTGACTTGGAGGTTAGGCCAGGGCCTGGAAAGGTGGGGCTTTTTCAGACTTGGAAGGTAGAGCTTCTCTGGTATATAGTAGTTAGTAGGGTGGTTTGTGGGTTTCCAAGAAACCCAGGGTATTTAAACTTTTTTTTTTCTTAGGGGATAAGAGGGCTAGGGAAACCCAGTGGCAGAGAGAGTATTGCTCAGTATTAACCTACGAGGGAGTTTCTTTATTGGCCTAGTTTTAGTCTGAGAAGGGAACTTTCTTTGAACCCTCTCGAAGCTGGGAGGAGAAGGATAATGGTGAGAAGAGCACCATCTTCAGCTGAGTTCATCTGCCATCTTTGGCACTTTGAAGCCTTTCATCTCTATACCCTTCCTCCTCATGGACAGAGGAGTCAGTGGAGAAAAGCCATTTCCTGTTCTAACTTTTCTCTTTGGCACAAACAAATCCATGTTGGGGTTGGTTGAAGTATGAGGCTTGGCTAAAGGCTTGGGTTGTTTTGGGCACTGGCAATAAGAACTTGGGATTGCAAGGAGTGGGGTGGACCAAGAGACTTCAAGGAAAGCTATCTCAGAAGTGGATTATTTCCATGTCCCTGTCGCCCACTCCCACTTGGACTGTACAAATTGCCTTTGCAAGCAGCGTTTCTAGGATCAGATCTTGGAGAAATGAATAAGGGAAGAATATTTCTGGATTGCTTGCAGTCTCAGAAGGGTCCTTTCTGTGCCATACCATGACACTTTTGTAGCTCTGCAGGGCATTCAAAGATAGCCTGTTCCCACTAGGGCCCCCAGGAGAAATAGCACTTTTCTCTCTTCTCCCAGGAGGCAGGGCTGTGGTCTCCCTCCCAATACCCCTAGACCCCACCTGCCTACTCTAGTAGGAATCTCAAGGATGTTCTTCTGACTCTTTCCCTGCTCCTCCCATCTCTAGGCTGTGGGACAATCATCCCATTTACCCCTTGACATTGACATCCTCGACCCTCATCCCCCAACCTCCAGCAGGCTGGCCCTACTCCCTTCCACCTCTGTCTTCTTCCAGAAGATGCATTTTGAGTCCAAGAGGAGTGTTTTTCTGGAAGGCCATCATTCAACGCCCCTGCTTCCCTGATGTGGAGCAGGAATTTGCACATGGTGTAGAGAGCTCCCCCTCCCACCTCTCTGCCCAGCCTTGTTACCTCACTCCTGCTCCGGCCATGGCTGTGATGGGCCCAGCCAGCTCCCTGTCTTGGTGTTGTGTGTGACAGCTCAGGGGTCTTGTGACTCAAGGTCCTCAGCAGGCCTGGGAGCCCGGATTGGAGCCTTGGCTGCTGGTGAGAAGCACCTTGCCTGCCAAGATTTGCTGATGCCAGACGATCTCCCCAACATTTGAAGGCCTAAAGGACATTGCCATCTCTGCCCCTTGGCCCTCCTTGCTTCTCTCAACACAATAAGACATTGCAGAAACAAAATGGCGGCCTATGCTTCAGGCACGACAGCAGGCTCTGTCTGGGGACTTGGCCCTGGGTTTGTGTGCCGTGTGCAGAGATTGCACAGTAAAAGCAACCATTTTTGCCAACAAGAATGTGTGGCTCCCCACATTCCCCTACCCTGCACTCTAGGGCCAGACCACTCTCTGCATGGACCAGACCATCTTCCCAAACCCATGGTGCTTTTTTTCCCCCCACTCAACCTAGACTCCAAGGTGGGGAGGGATGAATCAGAGGCCTTAGTGGCCCCTGGATAATCCTGACATGGGGTGGAGTGGGGTGAGGCAGTGGGAGCAGCCCCTAATACTTGCACTGGGCCATATGTGGGAAGGCTTATTGCAATTGAGTTGTCTGGCCATCTGTATTTGGATCTATAACTGTACTTTGCCTGGCGCTGTGCGCAAGGTCTGAAAACTTACTGCTAGTACCTAGAACCATACAAGGCTACCTAGCCAAATATTAATGTAAAGTAGCTAGAGCCATGGAAGTACAGTATGAATTAAAAGAAAAAAAAAAAGTATTGAATTCCAAATAATGAATAGTGTGTGTGTTTATTGCTTGATTCATCAGTTCCCATCATCCCGAATGTTTCTGGTGTTCTCAGCTATGCTCACAGCACATCCTGAAGGTGTGTGTGTGGGCGGTCATGCAGGTTCACGCACAGCCATCCACCTCCAGGCAGGAAAGCAGCTTGATCAAGTGCAATGGAGAAGTTTTGGAATCACACCTGAGTACAGATTGCAGCATCACTATTTACCAGCCATGTGGCATTGGGCTCCAGTTGTCACTCCAATCCTCATTGTTTTAAAAGTAAGACATATATTAAAAAGAACACATGCATCTCTTGGTATGGTGGCTGGTATTGTACTAGGATAATTTTTAATCTCCATCAGTAGTATTGTAGGAGTGTGGTGAACTGTGAATTCTGAAGTTTCTTTTTGTTCTTTTCCCTTTGGGGGATTTTGTCATTTTCCAGGGAGATGGCCACTGGGCGGCAGCTTTATTTTATGCCTCTCTTGCCACAAGTGGTGGGCTGAGATCCAGTATGGCCCTTGCTTCATAGCTTCTTCCTGCGCAGTTAGCTCCATCTTAGGAAACTTGTTGGATGCCAGAAAAGAAGATATGTTTCTCTGGTATTTTTGTGTTTGGGTAGAAGAGAAAGGGGGCAAGGAAAAGCTAGATCACACATTTAGCATATGTTTTTAATTGTAGATGATTAAATTGTTTTCCCTTCTCTAGGCACATCCAGTTGGGTATAGGAGTTGATACAGATTGGGGGGTTAGGTAGAAACCATGCAGAATGGGGTGCTAGGTAGAAGCTATGCAGTAGTTACACATAGTAAGTAGAGCAAAACCAGAGCCAGTGGCTTTTAGAGACACTTTATTGACATTGTTTAACAGAGTTTACTGAAAAACACTACAAATAGGCATTAGGTTGTTGAGGGATAGGGTGGTGTCGGGAGCAACTTTTCTAGAGTTCAGAAAAAGACTGGCTGTGGAAAATCAAGAAAATGCCATATGAAGGTGATGATGTAGGAAATAGTCCCGTCTGTGCCAAGACTGTTTTCTAATTGTGTTCCACAAACCTACCAGCACACGTCCTTCAATGACTTCTCTCCATATCACATACACTGCCCAGTAGATGCAGTTCTAGCCCAGTAGTGACGGGGAGAAGACAGAGCAATACTGGCTCTGCAGTTTAGCTGGCTTATGACACAGGTTGAGGCTGACCTGTTACTCAGGCTTTTTTAACAACTAGGACCTTCTATAAAATCAAGTGAGGAAGCGAGCTGAACTAAATATGAGATACATACCACCTTAACTTTTAGAGATTAAGTAAGACTTGGATGATGCTCTTTTTCAAGCCTAAGATCATCAGGCCTGTTTAGGGTCTAGGCTAGTATTCAACACAGTGGGTGCTGGAGAATGCAGAGTGAGTGGATATCAGACTGGTGAGCAAGCACATCAACCATCTGGATATATTTTCAGTGACTACGTGAATTCACTGAGTTAGGGTTTTCTCATTTACAAAAAGAGCTGAGACGGGCTTTTTTCCCTGCCCCTCACCTCTACCATTTCCATGTGAAACTGGGAAAGTGGAACAAAAACATTTGAAATACGTCTAGCTCTTGCTTCTCCTTTTTTCTTGCAATGATGCAATCTTATAGACTTTTCCCTCTGATGTGTAAAGTAGGTTTAGAGATTCTAGATGTATTTTTCCTTCCACTTGAGACAGGGTTTCACTATATTGCCTAGGATGATCTTAAACACATGGGTTCAAAAAACCCTCCCCATCCTCAGCTACCTCAGTAGCTGGGACTACAGGTACACAATGCTGCATCCAGCTCATATATTGCTTTTTGATGTAGTAGTTCTCGGGAGGAAAGGGATCCACTGTGTCTCTTTATTTTTTAGGTACCAGGGATTGAACTCAGCCACTCAACCACTGAGCCACATCCCCAGCCCTATTTTGTATTTTATTTAGGGACAGGGACTCACTGAGTTGCTTAACGCCTCACATTGCTGAGGCTGGCTTTGAACTCACTATCCTCCTGCCTCAGCCTCCCAAGGTGGTGGGGTTACAGGTGTATGCCACCACACTTGGCTTATCTCATCTTCTTAAGCGTTCACCGCTCTACACACTTCCCAGCATATTTCTGATTTGAAAATTCCTTTTCTACTAATATTTCCAGTTCGACATTCAGGAGAAACCAGAAACTCAGAAGGATGTGTGGATGTGCAGATGTTTGGGGATAGAGAAACCAAAAGACAATGCTGTTAAACAGACTAAAAATGAAGGTTGGGATAGGGATGGGAACTGACTGTCCAGGTATTTTCATGCAGAGGTTGGGGCTTTGATATAAAACCTAGATGGTGGTAAAGGTCAACAGGGCAAACTGCTCCCAGGACCTATAGAGTTGAGCAATTAAGCAGTAAGAAAGGGAAAATCACACTCAGCCTAGCTTGACCTTTAGTGAATTGTGTTATTGAGGATTAGTCATGGGAAACATCCAGCACCAAGACAACAAATGGGGTTTCTAAAGTGATTATAGCCCTTGAAAACTCTTCTAAGCCCTTTAATAAGTAACAACATACCAGATAAAGCTTCCAGAGCTACACGCATTTAAGTCAAGATCTTGTATAGGAATACGTGAAGAAACAGGGAGGTGGGTGAAGACTTCACGTAGGCTGGTGATCACAGTACCTTATAGATGTATAGTCAAGATCAAGTCTCCCAGGAAGGAGTTGAATTGCAGTTTTGGAGAAATAATGATATACAAACCAACCAGAAGGAAAACCAGGGTGGAATGGGCTCTCAAAGCACATTTGTAGTATTTACCAAGAAGCAAAGTGGCAGAGAAGTAGGAGAGGGGGATTAGGGTGGAGAGAAGATGGAAACATCTGGACAAGCAAGAGAGGCAGAGTTGGATGGGAGTTTAAAGTAAGAAAAGAAGCAGCTGTGGTGTAAACTGGAAGAGGAGTCAGAAGACCTGGATTCTAGCTCTCCACTGATCAGCAAAGTGACCTGATAATCTAGTAAAGCTACTTAACATTATAGCCTCCATTTCTTCATTGGTAACATTGACTCTTAAGAACATTCACCTCACTGGAAGAAATGGAGAAGAAATAAAATAAATGGAGTGAAAATGCTTTTGCATGCCATGTAGCTCTTGTGAAGGTATCAAGGATGAGAAGTGTTGAAAATATTTAAAAAGAAACAAAGAAGATAACTTTTGAAGAATAAATGATCAGCATCATTCGGTCCATGAAAAATAATTTAGAAAACATCTAGTGTTTGTATTTTTTTTTTAAAGAAAAAGGCAATCATGCATACCACTTGGTTACAAATTAAATGCATGGTCCACTGGAAACAAGGGGGAAGTGGAGTAGGAGGAAGTGACTCGCTGCTGCTACAACCTCCGCATCAACCAGGCTTGTGATTGGGTAAACCTCCCACTGATTCAGGCCCATTTTCCCAATTACAAATTAAGAAAAATGCTCTATATCATCTCCTTTACTTCAGAAAGGTGGTGTGGCAAATTACCAATAAGAAGGGTCTTGAATTTATTGCAAATGTTTTCTTCAACACATTAGACTCTTCATATGTGTTAAGGATCTTATTTCAAGTACGTCCTCAGGGATGGAAGAGATGATAAGCTTGTCACGTGATGCCCAAAGCCAATGGAGAATAGGCATTCAGATCAATTTCCCCAGACTTGAGGGCCTTCCCTCTTCTGGAATCCCAGCACTTTCGTCTGTCTTCTCATATCACATAAAACCTCCCCATCTCTTAGCACTAGGTGTGAAGGATGTCACACATAGATACTTGGACCAGTCACTACATTAACAAAAAAATAAATAAAAGAGAGACACTAATAATTTCCCCACCATTTTTCTGCTCTCTCAAAATTCAGAAAAGACAAAAACCAAAAGAAAACGAAAACACCTAACAGTACAGATTCATACATAGGTGAGGTATTTGGATGCCACCTCTTATCACTTTGTTCATTGTCCATCTCAGACTAACAAGTATTTTTCTTAGTTTGAATATTGTTCTCAGAGGCGATATCCTCCTGGGGATGTATCGGATTCACACATCTTTGTAGGAAATTCTTCCAGTCTATCTCATGTACTTCTGTGTCTCCTTCCTTGGCCAGTTTCTAGTTCCCTGAATCTATCAAAGTTAACCTAAGCTGTACCATCCACCTCAAATCTGTGCTTGTACAAAAAGCATGGCTACAGCCCAGTTCAATGTCAAATCTTTTCAAAAACAGAATAATCCATACTTGAGTGGAAACTGGGCAGCATCCAAAGCTTATCTTTGTATAGTTTGTCCTCTTAATTCTCTTATATGGTAGAGCTCTGTGTGAGCCTCAGTTGCCTCTTATAAAATGAGGACTAATACTGATCCACAAACACTTGGAGAGGAAGAACTTAGAAATTTCAGTCCCAATGCCCAGGTGGTGTGCTCCCCAGAAAGAGCACACATACATCATTCCAACAAAATCAGGAGTATGTTGTATGGATTTTAAGAGCCACTTAGATTGTCCTGGGTCCTTCCCCAGACTCTTGTCCTTGGCTTCACTGAAGGACTGGATGCAATCCAGGCCTTAGAGACCTATGGGGGATCTAGACCTGGAGTACTAAGCTCCAGAAAGCATTTTAGTCTATGCTTAAGAATCTTTGTCACTGAAGAACCTAGAGAGGCATGCTTCTCTCTGATGCTCTAGTCAAGTGGAAACTTGGAAAAAACTAACTTCAAAGAGTCCAAGTACATAACATGCTTTTGCTTTTACCGAAAATAATTACTTCCTCCTTCCAGTAAGACATCCATTCTCTTGAAGCAATGGAGAATGAGCCAGTTCCAGCCAGTTGAGGGAAGAGGGAAATGCTACCTTCAGCATTGGTATGAAGTTATTTGGAGCACAGGGAGAAATGCAGTTGGCACTGGAGCAGCTGGCTTGAAAGCGAGGATAGGCAAGGTTGACTCCATGTAGATATGTTGGCTCCTCAGCTCTGGCAAAGTCTCATGGTGTGTGGAGTTCTGATGGAGTTAGGAAGTCAGAGGTGAAAGCTCAGAGGTGGGTGGATATATGATGAATGTGTAGAAGGATGGTTGCAGGAAGCAATGGGGACCACGGGGCACCTTCCTGATGCTGCTGACATCATGGAACCTGGGATAGCCAGTCCCTTAGTGTTCAGGCCACCTACCAATGATAAAACAAATCATTCAGAATTTCCATCCCAGCCTAGTCCAGTCCAGCCCAGGCAAGTCCAAAGACACTGACCAAAAAAAGGGAGTGGAGAATTGTGCCCTTGTTACCATGGGCAAGGAGTTTGGTCTGGCAACACTCAGGTCAGCCCTCACCTTCTGAAGGGCTTGACATCCTACAGAGCTTTGTGACTTAGTCATCAACTTAAAGAAGTACCCTGAGGGTAGGGATACCAGACGGGATAGAAATCTAGAAATCCACTAAAGGGATCAAATTCAAGGTCATGTCAGTTGTGGGTGACAAAGTCACTATGCAACCAGCCACCCTTCCCCTTCCAAGTCCCAGGACCTCACCTCAAGTCATATCACTCCTATTCCTCTACAGGCACTGCAGAGTTCTCCTTGTTCTCTGAAGGGATGGCAAGGTAGTCAGACCTATAAAGGAAGGGGAGGGGGGAAGAGGACCAGTGGGGCTTGTGAAATAAGGAAGGAGCAGGTCTTCAGGACAGCTCTGCATTTCCTTCTGGGGCTAGTTCCCAAGACAAAACTAGAATGACCCTTTCAACAGATTAGAATAATACATCCTCTCCTGTATTTGTATATGAACACACCCACTAGCAATATCTGAGTCTTCTTATGAATCCACACTTATGCACGACTTAACTGAAAAATACTGGCTAAACTGAATGGAAATGAAATTATATTTTATAGTTATTTTAATTTTTATTTTCCTGATCATTGGTAAAGTTAAGCATTTCTTCATGGGTTTATAGGCTGAGTTTCTCCTTCAATAATTTGTTCTTCTAAGGTATTTGGTTTTTTTCGCATTGATTTTTCTTTGACAGCTTCATGTCTTCAAAATTTCCTTCAGTCTATTGTCTGTAAACTTTTAGATGGATTTTTTTTTGGAATAAACAATTGATTTTTACATATAAGATAATGAGAAACGACCATATTTTTTCTCTTTGATTTGTACCTTTTGTATTTTATTTAAGAAATTCTATATCCAGGTAATATTGATATTCTCTTATATTCCTTAATAGAATTTCCAAGTTTTACATCTTACTTTGTCTATAAATTTACTCAAAGTATTTTTGTTTGGCATAGGAGATGCAGAATTTTATTTTATTTTTCCTACATGGACAAGGAATCCTCCCTCCACAACTTACTTGACAGTTCCTTCTTCTCTCAGTGATTGCAGCGACATCACTTTTATGTATTCTTTTTTTATATATATACTTTCATTAACCTTTGGAGGACTTTCTGTTTTGTTCTGTTTGTGCATTTTATACCTATCAGTATATACCTAAACAGTATCACAAACTGTTTACCCTGATAGAGGTATGAGCAATTTTAATCTCTATTAGCTACTTTTCCGGAACCTAATTGTTCCTTCTTTGAATTGGCTTAGACCAGAGATCTACAAACTGTGGTTCACAAGCTAAAAATGACTGTTACTTGTTTAAAGTGTTTCAAACACACAAGGAAAACAAAGAACAATGGGTGTCAGAGATCCTACGTAGCTTTGCAAAACTTAAAATATTTACTACCTGGCTGTCCTTTGGTTTAGATAATTTTTGGCCCTTTGACCTTTCATGTGACCCTAAAAGATCAGTTTATCAAGTTCCTTAAAAAATTCAATGGAGATTTTAATTGGCATTTTACTGAATTTGAAGATTAATTTGGGAGGGAATTGTTTTAGTAGTGAGGATTTATTTTCCATCTCTTTGCTTTTTCTTGTGTCTTTCAGTAAAGTTTTATAATTTTCTTCTTAAAGGTCTTGCATATTCTTGTCAGATTTATTTCCAGGTATTGGATAATATTTGCTTCTATTATAATTAAATTTTTAAATATGTTCCTAGATTAGTTGCTGGAATATAGGTGATTTTTATACAGCCATGGGTTGTTCTACAATAGGAACATGTTCTGAGAAATATATTGTTAGATGATTTCATCCTCATTGAACATCATAGAGTGTAATCACACAACCTAAAATGGCAGACACCACTGGTTGATACAGTTTATGGGGCTGCCATAGCATATGCAGTCTGTTACTGCCTGAAACATTATGTGGCACATGCCTGCATTTAGATTTTTATAAGAAACTTGATGGAATGTTCTTACTAGTTATTGCTTGCTCATAGATTCTCTTCAGATATTATATGCAGATAATTATATTATGGATGTGAGCAATGATAATTTAGTTTCTTCCTTTCCAATTTTTACCCCCCTCTTTTTGTATTACTTAGCATACTGTGTAAAATATCCAATTCAATATTGAACAATAGGGGGAAGAGATGATATTCTTGACATGTTCTAATGTTACAGGCATTTCTTCCAAGGTTTCTATTTTTTTTTATTAAACTGTTGTTCTTTTCCAAAGTTTCAAAAGACAGATATCTTCTGTAGACTATCTTAGTAGCTGCTGTTTATTAGTTTAAAGGAAGTTGGTGTTTAGATGCAGATTTATTTATTTTTATCCTGCTCAGTACCTACAGATGTTCCTTGACTTATGATGGGGTTATGTCCCAATAAATTCACCATAAGTTGACAATATCCTAAGTAGAAAATATATTTAACATATCTAACCAACCAGACATCATAGCTTGACAATGTAGAACACTATAGAGAGATCTCACAGCTGACTGGAAGCTGAGCCTTGCTATTGCCACCCAGCAACAGGATAGAGCATACTACATATTGCTAGATTGAGAAAAAACTGAAATGCAAAATTTCAAGTAGTTTTGACTGAATGTTCAATGCTTTCACACTATCACAAAGTCAAAAGTCAAAAATTGTAAGTTGAGTCATCGTAAGTAGGGGACCAGCTGACTATGAGTCTTGCATATGAAGATGCATCTATCTTTCTCTCAGCCACTTCTCTCTTATACAGGTATCATTTCTTCTGCATTCTCTGTTCTATTCTAATGAAGCACTTCATTTTTTTCCATTCATTTCCTGTTTTCCTATTATTCCATTCTGTATAAGTCCCTCACATTTCTTTCGGTTACCTGTATCCAATTTTCTATTGAACCAATCCACTTGATATTTTATTGACTACATTTTTTTATTTTCAGAATTCTTTTCTGCGTGTCCTTTTTTCTTAGCAACTTACCTTATTTTTATGTTTTAAGTTTTTTTCCCATTGCTTTAACTATTTTAAACAAGCTTATTTTCTATACTTTCCCAGACCCTTCTTATCTGAATCTCCTAGGACTTAACAGTGACCTTATGTTATTTCTCTTGTTCATCTGGATTGTTTTCTTTCTTACTGAGGATTAAACCTGGGGCGCTCTACTATTAAGCTATATCCCTATCCCCCCCCCCTTTTTTTAATTACAGGTAGGACCTCACTAAGTTGCCTAGGCTGGCCTCTAACTCATGATCCTCCTGAGTTGCTGGGATTGCAGGAGTATACCATAACACCTGGACTATTTTCCACAGTGACTTTTCATTTGGGGTTGGATTGTGAAATCCCTTCTAGCAGTAATTAGTCTAAAGAATCCTACTGGACCTTGGCAGAGAGAGGGTCCCTTCAGAAGGGTTTTCCATTTGTTTCTATAGGATACTCCCAGTTATCACTGTCCACTGCTTAGAGTTTCCTTGATCACATGGATAGTATCAATTTAAGTCCCACATTTTGTGGGAAAAGGCTATGGTTACTAATTGTCAAGAATCATTTATTTTTCTGCTTGAAGTCAAGACAACATGGATAGGTTTCCCTGACTTTTCTGGGGGCTGGTGGGCTGGTAATTTTCTGGTCCACCCTTGTGTGACTGGTAGCCCTTTGGGGATTCTGGCTCTGCTGAGGATCTTAGTTCCAACTCTGTTTCTTGTGGGGGCCCAAAGGTAGACACTTCTGTCCAAGCACAAACATTTCCTGTCCATGCACTAAAATCCAATTACTAAAATCCAAGTAACTAAGTCACCAGGAATTACAACTTTCCTTCTTTCTACCCTCATATATAGTCTGTAGTAATTTTTATTTCCCTGAGATCATAGATACCATGCAAAATGAGGCTTTCTTGATCAAACATTTCCAGGTGGCAGCAACTGAAGCTTTTCAGATTATTCCCTCAGCAATGTTACTAGAAATTTGAGGGTTGGTTTTTGTCTGTCTTTTCCTGTCTTTCTCTCCCCAAATAACAGTCCAGCATGGTCTCTCAGACCCTTTGCTATTATAGACCCCATCATCTCTCACACGTGCTCTCTCAAATAACTAGGGTCGTGGCAAAATTGGCAAAGGTACAGGCTGGTCATCAGAAGATTGGAGAGCCTACTAGGGGGGATTTGATCATGGTCAGACTCTAGGGTATGAACTCACAGCTTGGAGCTCCTTATCTCATAAAGGTGGGCTGATGAGTTCCATGGTATGCATGGAACACATATGCACACACATATACACTTGTATACATATACACATATATTTAATATGTGTGTATTTATATATGTGTGTACATATGTGTGTGTATATATGATTCTGAGTCAAACAGCTGAACATGGTGGATGTCAGGAACAGAGAGGTCTGGGTTCGAATCCCTGTCTCCGCACTCACTGTGTGTTCCACCTGGGCAAGCCATTTAACATCTCTGAGCCTGCTTCAACATTTATAAAATGGCTATAACATAATAATGCTGATTTTATGGGTTAGTAATGGCAGCCGATGTTCTTCACCTCAGTGGTTAAGTGTGCAGGCCAAGAGTCAGCAGACCTAAAATCAGACATTGCTCTGTCTCTTACAGTGGCCCTTGGTTAACTCTGTATTTTCATCTGTAAAATGGATACAATAATGTTGCCTACCTCACAGGTAGTTATAAAGGGAAAGGTGAAGGATGTGTATAAATTGCGTAACACCTCACTTATTACAGCAGACACTCAGAAGGGGCTAGTTATCCTTATTACTTCGCCATCTTTGGACTTACGCATTTTCTTGGGCTGCTTCTTCAGCCTTTGAGACCTTTCTGTAGCAATATATCATCTCGATGAGCAACCACAAGGTGAGGAAGACCAGAAGGATGTACATCATGATTTCTGAGACCACAGAAGTGAAGTCTTCCCCAGCTGCAAGAAAGAGAATGAGCTTCAGAATGTGTATGTCCCACAAACCCAGAGCTGTCTTTGGGGTTTTAGATCTAGGAAGCCTATTTTTAAGTATGACTTAAATAAGCACTGAGTCTAAAGGAACTCAGGAACATGTTCTTTCCAACTCAGGAAGATGTCAGAGGACATCTTCAAATCCTCTTGTCAGTTTTTTCACTGAACTTCAATGGCTATTCTGGAGATAGGGATGAGGGAGAGTGATGGATGGAAGAAGTAGAAGAACAGCAAAAGGAAACTTGAACTCAGAATTATATATACACACACATATGTACACACATATATAAATACACACATATTAAATATATGTGTATATGTATATAAGTGTATATGTGTGTGCATATGTATATATACATATGTATATATGTGTGTATATATGTCTATATATGTGTATACACACCCACATACTTAGGTAGGAAGGAAGGGAGGGAAGAAGAGGGGAGAAGAATTGGGTCCCAATTGTAACTACTTACTGGTTTGGAAACAGTCATTTCCTGCATTGGAGTCTTTCTTAATTTGTAGAATGGGATAATAATTCACATCAGTCAGGGTTACTGTGAAAGTTACATTAGCTAGTATATTTAAGAATATCTGTGTGGGCTGAGGGTGGAGCTCAGTGGTAGAGTGCTTGCCTAGCATGGGCAGGTCCTGGGTTCAATCCCCAGCACCACACACAAACAGAAATGTAACGAGATGCAAAAATCAACACAAATGTTAAGGCACATGTCTTATTTCAACCACCTATAACCTCTGAACAGCAGATGATGGAGGTGATGGAGGTAGTGATGTCCCTAGGGAGAGTGCATTGGACCAAATCTCCTCCATAAATTGAAGTACTTAATGAGTTTTTGTTGAATGAATGAATACAAATAAGTGTTGATCTGTTTTGTTCCACGATCAACAAAAATGACAATTAGAACATGATACATGGCATATAGTCTGATATAAAGGAAGGAATTAAATTCAGTTTGCAATTATCCACAGAGTCCAAATCATCCCCAAAGCTTTGTTGGTTTAAACAAAAGAAAAAAAGCAATGATTTCTAGCCATGAACTTCATCTCAGAGAAGGTGGAGCTGGAAGTCATAGATGTAGCTTGAGGCATGTGTTGTCTCCTAGCCTGGAAGAGGGTTCATATTTATGTCTTAATTTATGTCTTAGAGACAGAAAGAGCTTAAACCAGGAAAAATTTAATGTGAACAAATAGAACCAGACAGATTCTCTGGGACAGGAATGGAAGAAATGGCATGTCACAGTGGAGGGTGCACCTATGAGTCATGTGAGGGCAGTGAGTATTCAGTGTGGATAGCTGTCAAGGGGTCACAGAGGCAAAAAGAAGGAAGAGGAAAAATGGCAGGCAGTGGGGATGGTGGTGGAAGGAAAGGTGCTGTGGGTTAGCTTAATAAGCAAAAGATCTGGACCCTGGTCCTCCTTCTAATACTAATTAGCTCATGTCCCTAAGCCAGCCCCTCTCTCACTCTCATGGAGCTCTGTTCTCCCGGGCACAAAATGAGAGGCTCCAGAACTGCACCCTCCAAGTACCTGAGGGGAGTCATTTTAACTTACACAAACCAGAAATCACCCAAACCCATTGCACTCACATCTACAAAGTTAGAATGGAGGAGCCTTGCTGGATTAAATCTCTAAGCTTCTTTCCAGCCCTACCATCCACAAGGCTTTGTGACTCTGTTAACAAACTTGTTTTTCCTTCTCTTCTTACCTGAAGTGCAAGTGTGACTCTCCAAGAAGAAGTCATTTTACTGTCATCTCCAAGCCTTCCTGCTTTGAGGAAGGGCACAGAAGGCAAGGGGTGGAGTGTTTGTAGAAAGCTGGCTGCTCAAGGAAGATGGGTACAAATACATGGGTTTTGCTGCGGTGCCTGACAGGCTGACTAGCTTAGGTTTGTCACAAATTTCCATCAGATGTGCCCCCAGTGGTTTCTGGAGGCAAAAAGCTGAGGCCTGAGAGAGCAGGAGGTGGAGACAAGAACCTTCCTAGGGTCTGGCAGGTACCAGCCAGCAGTTCCTGATGATGAACAGCAGGGGGCGCCAGGCACCCATCCCCAGGGAGAAGCAAGTGAAAACAGAGGAAGATAATGGAACTTTTGAACAGATGCATACCTCAGAGAGCTTCCCGCCCTGTCCCCTGCGTCTCTCACAGAGGAGACAGGCTCAGAGAGGGGATGTGACTCATCACATCTCAATTCAGGTAGCCTGAGTGTTCTGCATATTCAGAAGTGATCTACCTTCTGCTTAAGTTATAGCGTCTCATTCTCTGTGGTTCACTCTCAACACTGAGGTCTTCATTTTACTGTTTTGATCACAGTATTTAAAAAAAAAAAAAAAAAAAGAACTTGTAGTCTGGAAGTTAGGATTCCCAGGTCCCTTTTCTAGGAAGAGCACTATCTTTAGCTTGATCTCTTCTTTCATGCCCACACATCAGGGCCTATTCATCATCCTGCATCTCAGGGCAGAGATAATGCTAGCAACAGGCTGGAAATAGACCTCCTGAGAAAGAAAGGCATCTGACATGTGAAGAGGTATTCGCAAGGGGCTCAGAGCTGCAGTTCTCTGAGTCCTCTGACAGTAGCACCAAAGCAGAATGTGAGTGCCCTCAAAGTCCTCCCTCCAGGTTCTGGACTTGGAATGCAAGAGAAATATCTGAGTTAAGTTGCTGAGAGGACTTCCCACTAACAAGAAATCAGCTGAAAGATCCGAAGACCTTAAAGACTGGAGAGCTATCAACTTGTCCCCTTCTCCCAGCTGAAGATGGATTTATGCAAAGATGTCACAGTTGAGGAAGGGGTTGAATGTGTGATTATTGTGGAGAGACAGATAAAGATAAAAAGCTTGTCAAATTTTGGGCTCAGAGAGTGGTTCTCAACAGCAGCATCCCCTAGCAAGTCAAAAAATCTGTGTACTAAAAAGGCCTGCAGAAGATGCTGAATATTGAGAAACAAGGATGTGGCAGTATATATTGCTTGTAGACAGGAGAGGATTTCTAGATAACATTATACAATTTCTTTGTGCCCACTGAATCAGGGACTCCACACAGATTAGAGAAAAAGGCATCATTAAATCAGTGGCTCTAGGCTTTGTGGAGGCTGTCTCTTTTCTCTGGCAGACCAAGAAGAGGTCATTTTACTGTCATCTCCAAGCCTTCTTGCTTTGAGGAAGGGCACAGAAGGCAAGTGGTGGAGTGTTTGCAGAAAGCTGGCTGCTCAAGGAAGATGGGTACAAATACATGGGTTTTGCACTCTCCAAAGGCTCTCTTATCCTCCAACCCCAACCCAAAGAGTAGGACGCCCCAGAAACCCTGTGCCGCAGCCTCACCCTCCTCAGTGACTCGAAGGGGAATCAGCCGTGTGGTCTTCACAAAAGGCCGATGGGCCTCAAACTCAAACTCTCGAGACACGTTGCAGGTATAGAGGCCAGAGTCATTCAGAGTGACGTTGAGCACTGTGATGGACACATCTTGCAGGTCCTTGCTCCCATTCCACTGCAGGCGCCCTTGGAAGGGGCTCTCCACCTCCTGATGGCCATTTCGATACTCGTAGATCTGCAGGTAGAGGAGCAGAAGCAGGTAGAGCCAGGAGAAAAGGTAGGGCAGGACAGCCAAGATGGAATGGGATGGAGGAAAGGAGTGGGGAAGTGAGAGGACCATGTGGCCAGAAGACCCAGAATACAGGGGTAGGATGTAGAGGTGCAGGGGAGGACACGGAAGGAAACAAAGACAGGAAGATGGACATAGGCAAATGGGAAGGGTAGGCAGGAAGAAGCCTGGCAGGAAAAATGAGGAAAATGGGAGAACAAAAAAAAAAAAGGAGGAGAGGCATACAGAAGACCAGGAGGGGAAACTGAGAGAAAGAAAGTATTAGAAGGAGATAGAAAGGGAGCTCAAGAGAGAGTGTCATGGGACAGCCAACAACAGAACAAGGTGAGGAGACCAAGAGAGGTGGTTTCATGAGCAATGAAGACACCTGACAGTCCTGCGCTCAAAATGTGACCCTCTGAGCTGGTACCCATTAAGGGACCGTGGGGAAATCTGGGCCAGGCCATAGGAAGGGAGCCTAGGATGCTGAATTGTGATCTACCAACCGAGAGGCACATGTTGGGGCTTTTGCTTTGCTTTGGGCTAAATTCAAATTGAAATCTGCTCTCTTAAATGTCTTTTCTCAGGCACCTTTCCTTCTGACATGACACTTTTGTTGTCTATAGCTGTGCTATTCATTCTAGTCTCCACTAGCCACATGTGGCTACTTAAATTCAAATTCCTAGAAATTGAATGCAAAATTTATTTCCTCAGTTGCATTTTCTCCTCATTTTGGGGAGGCCCAGAAGCAGTGTGGGTAGCTGGTGTATGATTGGGCCTGTTGTCTATGGGGGCTTTTGGATCTGGCCAAGACCTCCAGCCTCCTGTAAGTGGGGCACTGGCTTAAGGGCAGCTTCACTGATGTGTCACTATCAATCTTGAGCCAGGCTCAGGAAGTCTCTGCTGGTTCCTATATTGGCACCCGAGTAGAGCCAACCTACACCAATATGGCACACAGAACAGAGGTTAAAGCGTTAAGAAGAAAGAGAGCAAGCAAAACTCAACTTCACCCTGCTGTTTGTTGTCTCCATTAAAAGTCTTTGTAGAGAAGTGCCCCCAGGATGGCCAGACAGAGAGCTAAACAGAGGCTTTAAAATCTGCAGTCAGACCACCTGGGTGAAGTCTGAATTCTCTTACTAATGTAACCTGTTTGAGCCTCAGTTTCCTCATTTCTCTCTCTGTATGTGTGTATACATTTTTACTCACACATGCATCTTTTTCTCTAGGAAATACTTAATATAATGCTTACTATATTCCAGGAATCATTTTAAATGCATTAAGAATTAGAACTCATAAGTCCTGGTAACAACCCTATATAAGCTAGCTATAATTTATGTCCCCATTTAAAAATAGAGAAACCAAAGCATCAAGAGGTTGAGCAACATTACGTGGACCCAGAGCCAAATAGCATAGGGTAAAGCATCAACCCCAGGCAACCTGCTCCAGAGTCAGTGACAGTATCAATAACAGTCATCTCTAAGGTAGTATTCCAAACATGTAACAACCACTTTACTAATTTAATCTATCTTGTGGGATGGTGAGGGAGACAAAATGGACAGCACCGGCACAAACCAACCAGGACTGACATTGCTTGTGTGCACAGGTACAGAGTCAGGAAGTTTCCTGCTCTGCCAGGAGCAAATCCCTTAGTTTCCAGATCAAGGGGAAGCCTGGGGATTCCTGGCGGGAAGGATGGAGCCATGACCTCTGGGAAACAGGTTACAGCGAGTCTCCACTACATAGCTAGCTAAGTCCACTATGTACCTATGTGGCTGCTCGGGGACACCAGCAATATCAACCTTGGTCATCCCTGTCATTCTTTTTTTTTTCATTCTTATTTCACTGGGATGGTGAGAGTTCAAAGAGCTGTGTTATTTCACATAATGATGTTTCATGTTCTTTCAGTTTCTTTACTAATTTAGTCCATCTCATAGGATGGTGAGGAAGACAAAACGGACACACTTGCAAGAGGCCTCACAGGGTGCCTAGCCTAGAGGAGGCTCTCAATAGGATTTATTTCTTTGTCCTCCTTCCCCTGCCTGTAACCAGGCTGCTTGTGGCTGGACAAGCGCCCTCCCTTTCACAAAAGCGGAGCTAAACTAAGACTGGAAGTTATCTCCTCCTCAGGAGCTGTCAGTGCTCAGAAGAAAAAGAGCTAGTGAGTGTTAGATCCTCATCTCGCAGACTGTCAGGAGCCAGGCACATAACATCACAGACTGGTAAAAGAAAGGCCAGAGGCAGCAGTCGGACATACAAGAAAATCTTTACCGCCCTCGGGCCTGTAGAACCACTCCACCACCGTGGTGGCCTCCACCTCCTCCCTCTTCATGCAGGAGATGCAGCGCAGCTTCATGGGGGTTCCCTGGACAGCCTCCGTCTCCGAGGGCACTTCTACACACACAGGGAAGCAGACGCTGACTGGAGGGAGCACAGAGGGCAGGGAAGGGACAGCAGGCAGTGGGAAGGGGGGCAACCAGAGGGAGGCATTGGAGGACAAGGAGGGAGAGAGAAACAACAGAGACGAATCATTAGATAAAATTGAAAATGCCTGTTTCCCTGAGTCCACACCCAAGTTCTCTAAGCTCAGAGAATAGGAGCGGAGCAAGACGAAGGAGATGTGAATGACCCAGACATGGACTGAAAGCCTTCTCCTGGAAGCAATGAAGATGCAGCACAGGACAGTCTTGGTTCCTACCCTCAAAGTCTTAAAGTCTAGCGGGGAGATAGGGCATCCAGGGACCATCCACCCACCCCATCTTCACCCAGCGTTCACTGAAGTCCGCTCAATGCCAGGTCTATGGTAGGCTGGAGGTGGAAAGATGAACAAAATGGTAACCACAGCCTCAAGGAATTTATAATCTAGAAGGGAACATGTTTCTACCTATGATAAACATATTCCTTCTGGGGAAGGGAGAAGAGGCTGTGAGTCTGAGGCTAGAAAGGTAGATGGACAGATCCCTGCTGTGAAAATCTCTGTGTGTCCTTTATAGTATGAGACATCAAATACTCTAAAGGCACAGAGACGTAAGCACATCTGTGTTTTAAGAAATCTGTGGGTGATTCTGACACTTGGACGGTGGAGCAGCAGAGGGGAACATGACAGTCTGACCACTAGGCTAGAACAAGTCTCTCTGAAGAGTAGAGAGAGACTAGGTTAAAATCTAGAGAGATCTGATTATGGGACACTTAACATGCCACATGGAGGTTTAGACTTATGTTATGGTTCCTGCCTTCTAGATAAAGTCCATTTCAAGAAAAACAGATCAGATTGTAAATTCAGAAAATCAAAAGTGGGACACAGCTGTCAACAAAAACAAGAGCGAATGTGGGTTGCATTAACAGATGCACAGTGTGCAGAAGGAAGGAGGTGCAGTTCCTCTGCAGTGTTCAGAACAAATCTGGACTGCTATGATCAGTTCGGGATACCATATTTTCAAAAGGAAATTTTTTGATGAGTGCATGCCCAGAGATGAACAAGATGGCGAGGGGCCCACAGACAAGCCTAAAGTCTGGTAAGGAATGAATGGAAGGACTCAGGGTGGTAAGCTGGGCATGGAAAATACCTATCTTCAAATATTTGAAGACTGGCAGGTGGAAGAGAATTTGATTTTACCCAACTCCAAAGTTTATAAGGAAAAATATAAGTTTAGCATAATAATAACGGATTTTCTAATGTTAGGATTGTTTATAAATACAAAAAACTATCCAGTATGGGAGCTTATGCCTCATGGTGTGGAAGACTCAAAAATAAACTGGCCACCAAGAATTCTTATATCAGGACTCCCGAAGTTTCCTTCCGAAACTGCCCTCTCATGAACTAATGATACAAATAGAACCTCTAAGAAGAAAAATAAACAACACACATTGACATTTAAACCAACTAGTTCATCATTAATGGTCAGCCTATCCATCTACTGAAAATTCGGAACTATAGGAGATTAAAATGAGACTGACAGAGACGAATTTTGAGTCAAAAATGTGTGGGCTGCAGTTATGGCTCAGTGGTAGAGCACTGGCCTTGCACGTGCAAGGCCCTGGGTTCGATCCTCAGCACCACATAAAAATAAATAAAATAAAGTTAAAAAAAAATAAATACTGTGGTTGGTTGAGAAGTCAACAGATTTTACTTCCATTTTTAAACTTCAGTGTTTAAAAACTAAATGACACTATAATTAAGGTTTAAACAGTCAACATAAAATAAATGTTAATTGGTTTTCAGTCTCTCAGGTAAGCTGGGCTTGTGTTATCTTGAGTTTGCACAAGGGCCTCGATGGTTTGATAGTGAGAGGGTCCACATCTAGGTAAAACTGATCAGAAACACTTTCAGCATGTGATGAGTTTAAAGTCTTGATCACAATCCTGCTTAAAAAAGAAAAAAAGAAAGGAGGTATTGTTTGTGCAAGTTTGTGAGTGTACAAAGGGGCAGAGGGCATGCAGCAAGAACTCTGTGTAGCACAAAATATTGGAGTCCATTCATATTTAACAAGAGGTGGTAAAAGCAAGTTCAATGTCAATGATCTCAGAAGCAGGACAGGTAAAGTCCCAAGGAAGACATGGTTATGACTATAGAGATAGGAAGATAATGGTATTTGGCACCTGAAGGAATGAGTTTGATCCACAAACCTTTGAGACTCAGTTTATTAGGCACTAAAATGCTACAAACAATATCTGTGTAGTGTATAGGCCATGGAAATTCTATGGATTTGTGTGAATGCATTTTATATGTCACTTATTAATGTTATTTTATCCTGCATTTGTTTGCTTATTTATTTATTTGTTTGTTTTTGTTTGCTTATTTATTTGAAAAATGTATTGAATGCCCACTGTGTGCTGGGCATTGTTCTAAGCACAGAATCTCAGTTCTCATGGAGCCAAATTCCAGGGTAAGAAGAATGAAAATGAACTACATTATATTGTAATAAGTGCTGTGAGAAAAATAAAGCACAGGAGAGGAGGGATGAAGGGAGAGTGAATGTACAAGGTCGTTGGAGGTGACCTCACTGAGAAGGTTAACGTCGGGCAGTCACTGAAGGAAAGAAATGATGGAATGAGCCACAGGGACGCTCCTGTGAAGTCATGCCAAGCAGGGGAAGGAGCAACTTGAGGATTCAAGGGTCCAAGGGTCCAAAGGATTGTGCTTGTCATGTTCACTACACAGCAAAGACAGCAGAGAGCAATCACTGCTCCTAGGGTCCTGGTTAGTACATTGCAAAATAGCCACAAAGCGCTCCCTTCTTATTTGCTTGCCCTTTGCAATATGACCTCCTGTTCCTTCTGTGAAGAGGTCAAGTCTATGTCTCCCCCCCCTGAGTCTCCAGCTCACTACTTCCTTTCTTTCTATTGAAAGCAAGCTCTTTGCAAAGAGCTAGCAATGTGGGAAATATATCAAAGGAAGTAAGCATAACGGGGATGAGACTGGTAAGGGAGGTCAGGGCAGGATTGCAGCCGGATCTACAGGCCACATTAGAACTCTTGATTTTTGCTTAGAGTGACATGGAGAGCCCTGGAGGGTTCTGAGTGGAAGCATGGTCAGATCTGATTTGTACTAAATTACATGATCAGCCTGATGTGTTGAGAATAAATTGGAGAAGTGAAGGGGGACAAGAGTGGAAGCAGAAAGAACAGATAGGAAACTGGCATGTAGTCAGATCGGAAGATGATTTTGCTAGATGAAGATGATAAAAGAGATAAAGGGGTTTGAAAGGGAATCATTTGCTGGATTAACATTGTGGAATGGGTGAAAGGGGTGTTCTTTAGTGACCAAACAGATGGGGTGGCCAAGATAGGAGCACAGTTGGGCCATTCATAGTTAGGGGAGGAAAGGTGGGATCTAAGCAGTCAGGACAGTGAATGTGTAACAGCAGCCTGTGCGCACGGTCCTTCTCTTTTCAGTGATGATAATCCAAGGTATCTTCAGAAGGCCCAGGGCTGCCTTTCTCCTGGCCAAAGTCCAGCTTCAAGGCAGGAGCACACTGCTCCTGTGGTCCTGAATAGTACATTGCAAAATGGCCACAAAACTCTCTCTCCTCATTGGCTTGCCCTGTGCACTATGACTTACTGCTCCTTCAGTCAAAAGAAAAATCTATTTCTCCACCCACAAGTCTACAGTGCACCATTATGTAACGCTGTAGGTATGCTGTAGGTATCCAAGGAAAGATTGTACATATATATGGCAGGAGCTCAACTTACATTGCTGCCTATCAATGATAAACTCTTGGAATAATATTGGCCAAATCATTTGACCTTTGGACTCTTCTTCAACTTCCATAATAATAATGAAGAAACTCAGGAGAAAGAACACTATGATGCATTCATTAATGATGATTATATTCAACTCATCTGTCACCTCCATATTTTTCTCTTCCTTGGCCATTGTCACACTGCCTTTTCTGGCTTGCTCTAGAATGCTTCCTTTGCAATAAGGTGATGAAGGTTTTAATTAAAATGTAAATAATTTCCGAAATGGGGTCACAATTGCAATTAGTTTCAGATGTTAACTCCTGAGGTCATCAAATTAGCCTGTCATGTAGCAGGGTCCTGAAGGAATGAGGTCTAGGAAGGGCTATTAGGGGAAGAGGAAAAATTCCCCAACACAGGGGACCAGTGGGAGAGTAAACCTGAAGAAGTGCACAGAAGGCAACAGGAGCTAAGGGATGGGTGAGGCCTTAGGAAAGGTGATGGCATGTGGAAAGGGGGAGGGAAGGATCAGAGGAGAAATGCAAGGACAGCAATTGTGCACAGCTGCACATGTCCAAGAGAAGCCACAGAAGACTGAAGTCAGAAGACTGGATTCTCTAGCCGTCCTTTCCTCTCCCTAAGCTAATCTTCTCATCTCTAAACTGGGAATAATATTCCTTTCCCTTCAGTACCCTGTAGAATTGATATGGGGACCAAAAGAAGTAATGAGTTGAAAATTGCTTTGTAAACTGTAAAGCATCAGGCAAGTGTAGGTTTAAAAATTCTTATTATTAATATTATATGATTTATTAAGAGAATAAGGGAGCTTTTTTTCAATACATGCAGAAAGTAAATGGAGAAAACCCTTTCCATTCATACTGGCCATCATGTAAAAAATCAGCTTGAAAAAGGGGGGACATGTCTAGCTAAATGCTTTCCAGTATTATAATTACATGCTAATAAAATGAAATTGCATTTGTGAGTGAGGCTCTTTCTCTTACATTTAACAATGAGACATCCTGAACTCCTCTTTACCTTCTGCAGTTTCTGAGTCTGTGAACCAATGTTCATATTGAAAAGATGCTGAGAATGAGCAAGGAGAGATGTAATGTGGTCAGATTTTCCAAAGTTTTGGGGGGTGGAGGAGGGAATGGGCACTCCAACAATTCTAGCAATAGTCTGTAAACATTTCCCCATCATTCAGTTGTGAAACTGAAAGGAATATTAGATGTCATCTATGACAACTTCCAAACTTTACATATAAAGAAACAGATTCTCTTAGGTTGTTACATAGTATGATAGAAGCAACAGAGCAAGTCAGTCAAAAAAACACTTGGACTACAGCATGCTTTCCCATTCCAATGGAATTCAGACAGGAATGCTAAAAACTTAAAGTCTGGGAAGAAAACCTATGCGGACTTCACCCCAACCCTTCTCTACAACTTCAGCTTTATCCACACTCTCTCTTATCCTGCCAGACTATAACCACTCCGAAGCCTCACAACCCTAGCATTTCCCTGGAGCAAATCTCAGCCTTAATCTTCAAGGCAGGTGAGCTCATTGGCAACCTATTATGTCTGCTTCATCTCTAAGTCTGGTGTATTCCATTGGGAATGAATGGCAGTAAGACTGCCCTTGGGGCTGGCATTACTCTCCCTCCTCATCTTTCTTAGCCTGTCTCATCAGGCTTTTTTTTCAGCAGGAAGCTTGGTTCTGCCTTTGGTCACATGCAAAATCCAGATAATGCTGGCAGCCAGAGTTAGACCCAGAGACTGGACAAAGATACGGAGGCAAAAAGTCAATTCTCATCAGCATGTCTGCCACTGCACAGGCAGAATGAGTTTCATGCCAAGCATGGGAGAATAATCCAGTTGTCTACTTTCAGTCAGGGGGTGGGCACAATCCAATGATCCTTTTTATAGATTTTAGCAGGGAAGAAGGTAGCAAAGATCATGTAAAGCAATTTACCAACTAAAGAGACCCATGTTTGATTTAAGAATATAAGAGACACCAAGGCCGAGATGCCTAGAACTGCACACACATACACACCCACGTGTTCATACCAGTCCATTCAGATGTCTATACTAACATGTTCAGACACATGCTAGTGCACATTCAGACACTGAGACTCAGAGACACAAATATCATCTCTACCACATAGTAAGACATTATCACATAGACTCTTAACTCCCTTTGTACACATTCAGGCACCCCACTTCAGGCCCATCCCTTGACATAGCTCTGCTCAGCCTTACTGTTGTCAAGTGTAGGAGTAACTTATTTGGAGGGGGGAAGGTCATCTCAGTATCTCACAACTGACAAGTTTATTCATCTTTGAGGGCAAAAAACCCAGCTCCCCAAACATCAAAGCATCTTAGCTCCACAAGTGTACCAAAACAACAACAACAAAAACATTTCCGTGTTTGTCTATTTATCTAATACATAGCAGCAAATGGCTTAAGCCTGTTTTCCCCTATTCCTTACCAAATTAAGCAAATAGATCAACAATCAAAGCACTTTCATTCTCAAAATCCATGCACCCAGCTTTTGTGTTGTTGTTGTTAATATAGAGAAATGAATCTGAAGACCCAGTGATCTTTCCAGGAGGATTGACTCCTCATTGAGAAATGAAATGTGATTGCAAGCAAGATTTTTTATAATGAACGTGGCTATGTTCCCTTTCAGTAAAGGGGGGTGGGGGGACTTAAGAATGATCACGAAAGGAGGAGGAGCAAAAGAACCACCAAAAAAAGGTTGGGGGAATAAAGCTGCAGGACAACGGGGAGGTGCCTTTCCAATCTTAAAATTCCATTCTCATGGAACCCATTTAGATCTCCATGTCTGGCAGACATGTACAGAGGGAAGCCAACCAGAGCTTCTTTTTTTGTCATCAAGGACATCAATAAGTGTTATTATCGTTAGCATGATTACAGTTATCTGCATCTCACATGGCAGGGTGCTGGCTGGTACTTACCCCAGTAGATGAGAACGAGAGAAACCAGGGGAAACAATCTGTTGAAGGCAGGCATCTTTTTCCGCGGGTGTTTTCCGGGGCTAAAGGGAGAGATTCCCTCAGTCAAAGACTGCGCCCTCAGATTCTTTCGAGGAAACCCTTTGGGACGGATTGCCCAAAGAGGGCGACTTTCTGACTGAACGAAGGGCGCCGTGCCTGGGGAGGCTCTGCTGCCGTTTGAAACCGGGAAGGGGGCGGGGGTGGGGGTCCCAGCTCCAACCTATCCCAGCAGAACCCAATTCGAGGGAGCGATCAGCAGCGCCGCGCACTCTCCCGGAGCGGGTTGCGGGATCCGGCTCAGGACCACGGACAGTAGCTTCCCCGCCCACCCCGGAACTTCACATTCCAGTTGCTCCCCCGCGTTTCTGGCTTGCGCCCAGGGCAAGCTCAGCTCGGAAGGGAGTCGCACGGCTGGCCCTAGGAGGCTGGGCTGTCGAAGGGGTCCATGTTGATTCACCTCTCGCTTCCCCTTACAACAGCTATTAGGATCCACCCAGACCTGGGAGCTCTGGCTTCTTCCACCCGGATCGCCTTCTTCGGCTGGGCGTGTCCCTGCACCCGAAGCCACTGGGGCCTCCCGTCTGGGATACAGAGTTCGTCCCACGTCGGTCTGTACACAAGGGCCTCGGCTCCCCGGGAGACTCAGAGGTGCCGGGAAAGAGACGGAACCTCCTGTAGGGCTGGCGATGTCGGCGGTGGAGGCTGGGTAGAGAAAAGTGCCCCTGCCTTGGAGCTCGCCCCTGGATCACACGGGGTCCCGACCCGGGTGGCAGGCGACCGGCGGCCCCTCTCCAGGCCCCCAGAGCTGTGTGTGCTCTGTTAGCCTTGACATGCGCAGGCAGCTCTCCGCCCCCACCCCCACCAAAGACCCACCCCCTTGGGCACACGGTCCCCACCCCCAAACAGGCGTGCCCCTCCCAGGGCCGAGCGCGCCGCCGGAGCGGGGGCGGAGCCCCGCGCGGCGCAAACACCTCCAGCCCAGGAGGTTTCTCATCTTGCTGTCACTCCCCGGGTCTCCCTCTTACGCCTCAATACCTCTCCTAAGCAGCCGCGCACTGCCTCGCACCAACTCACACACTCCGGGAGACAAGCCCACTCCTGCTCCAGCAGATATGCTTGCCTCCAGCTCCGGGAAGAGGAGGGCCAAATCTCTTTCAAGCAATGATGTCATGTGCAATGTATACATTAAATGGCTCCTGGCTTCTTTCCTCCGACCCCATCCCCTCCAGCTTTCCCAGTCCAGCCTCGTCTACCCTTGATTAATTGGTTCCCAGAACAAAGAATGCAGCAAGATAATCCCTACTTAGGGCAAGCGGGTAGGGGTGAGACGCACCTGTGCCCGTGTTTACTTCATCTCCAGAGAGGTGATCCAAGTGTCAGCGCAGGGGTAAGCATTGGGAGTTGGGGGCAAAAGGACTGCTCTTCCCTTCCGAGGTTTCTCGCAGTCCTTATAGCTCTAACCGCTTTTTCTTTTTCTTCCCTCTCTCTTTCCCTAATCCTCTTTCTTTCCTTCCCTCCCTCCTTCCTTCCTTGCTGTCTCTCTTTTTTTCTTACAGATCCCGGTTTGGTGTCTTCCAACTCTTAGCCACTCCCTAGTTCTAGCAGCTGCTTGAGTGTCGCTGCCCAATTTCTGGAAGGGAAACCTGAAACTTCACCCTCAGTTATAAACCCAAGTTGACATAACAGGTTAGGAATGCCTGGAACTGAAGTGAAAGATTAATAGAGAATGATTGGTACAAAAGCCTGCCCCCAGCTACCTTATTATTCTACTGCTCTTTTGCTAAAAGGGGAAGTTTAACACTGATATTCCAAAAGGGAACACAGAGTAACAGCTGACTGTAAGTGAACCACTCACAGGAAATGCTCCCTCACAACATATCACACACAGCAACAGAACATCTAAATAAGATATCCCTGGACAGACGCTACTGGGCCATAAACTCTATGTTGGTTTGAAGACCAGCCTTTGAAGCATACTATGTTAGATTTGGATGGGAAGTTAAAGTTGATTTAATTCAACTTCCTTTCCAATGCATAAATCCCCTCAAGAACTTTCCTGAGGAAGGTCCTCAGGAAAGGAAGTAAGAAGTTATTACTTCACAAGTTTGTCACTTTAATGTTGAATTCTGTAACCCTTCCTCCCCAAACTCCATTAAATGTTTGTAATAATGTTTTCTCCTTAAGGGAGCCGTACTACCCACCCTCACAACCACTGCAACAGCAAAAGTGTTTTTGTTGTTGTTGTTTGTCTGTTTTGGGGATTGGGCTGTTTCCTTAGTTTCTTTAAGTGAAAGCAGTAATTCATATGGTTTCCAACCTTTAGCCACCCTGGTCACTTTCTCAGGAGGGTTTTAGATGATCACATGATTCGCCAAGTGACTGATGTTTCCTATGTGGTCTCATAGGACAGATCCAGTGGAATTATGACCAGTTTTGCTTTAGAGAGTGTATGTATTAAATACATTTGAATTGCATTTACGTTATAATGATCTTATGTTCAGTTATAATCCCAAAGCATCTTTCCTCAACCTGTTGTAGAGTCCGTTTGAACTTGTGCAGGGTATTTTAGAAAAAAATTTAATGAAACTTTGCATTTACTGCTGTTAACATTTAATAGTTGTTTGCTTTAACCGTATAAGTAAAAAAAAATAAAGATTCGGGGTGATGACTGATTCTTCACTGCTAATGTGAAGTAAAATTTGAACTGATAAAGTTTTCCCCTGAGGTGACGTGCCTACTTTGCAGAATTTCTGGGAATGATCTGTCCATTCCCTATACACTAAAAAGTAAATTGGTCTATCTCTTTATACTTGCAAGGAACACAAGTAGTCCCTAGCATAGGTTTCCCTTTGACATCTTTATAGCATTAAAGTGACCAACTAAAAAAATTTATTAGTTGCAACAAAGTATCACATTTATTGAATTCTGATTCAATTACCCCATATATCTATCTTCTTTAGCTTAATTTTTGTCTCTAGGTTTCACAATCACTTGGTCTCCACATCAGGTTTTTAAAACAAAGAATAGCAAAAACAAAAACTAAGAGTCCTTTGACATGCTCCTAAGATTTCAGTTAGCTTAACAACGAGCTACTAATTAAAGTTCTTTAGTAGGTTGCTCAATCATAAATAAATACCCAAACATATCTTCTTACTTCCATGTGTACAGTATGATACATTTTGAAAACTTAGAATAAATGGCATATGTGAGAAGAATAATAAAACATAGGAAAGAAGTAGGATCAATGCTTTACTTTTACATGGAAACAGATTTTTAGTAAAACAGTTCAAGTCATTTCAAGGAGGAATTAATCTTTTTCATTATGTTTCAAATTAATTTTTATCCAAACAAACAGGGATATTTAAAGGGAGAAATCTAGGGTTAGAAATTTAGAAAGAATTGTGATTTAATTTCAATCATCTTGATATTCTATGTTTTTATTGAAAAAGTCTCATCAAGATTGAAATAGGGTGACTCAGATATTTTCAGTCCAATAATTCTATCAAGTGCCATACACTAATCACAACTGGCTTAGATTAGCTTCATTAATTTCTTAATTTTTTTAGATATACAGATGGTAGAATATATTTTCACATATTATACATCCATGGAATATAACTGATTCTATTTAGGATCCCATTCTTGTGGTTGTAGATGATGTGGAGTTTCACTGGTCGTGTATTGATACATGAACAGAGGAAAGTTGTATCTGATTCATTCTATTGTCTTTCCTAATCCTATCCTTCCTCCCTTCCCTTCATTCCTCTTTTTCTAATCTAGTGTCTTCTATGAATGGATGTGGGAGTAAGAGTAGTATCCAAAGAGTGAAGAGCTGAAGCCAGAATCAATATAAGGAACAGAAAAAGAATCATCAGAGAAATAGGAGAAGGTCCAGCAAGATGCAGTACTACAGTGGCCAGGGAGAAGGAGCCTCAAGACTTGAGGGACATTCTCCTCCTTCGAGGAGATTCCAGCTATTAACGCTCAGAGACTGAGGAAGAGGGTGGTACAGAGCCTGAGGGGTTCAGAGGTTTTGAGATGGAGGCCACAAAAATGACTGATAAAAGGAACAGTGGCATCTGAGATAGGCAGAGAGAGGTTAGTTTCCCAAGGGAAGAAACTCATTTCTCTGCAGTTACTGGGGAGGAATGAGAGGCAGCAGTAGTACCAGTGATATTATGAGTAAAAAAGGGGACATTAAGATGCACATATTGGCCTTGGTAAAGCAAGAAGCCATATTATCCCTTGAGTTTGGTGGTAGGGAGGCCCAGGAAAACATGGGGATAGGGAAATGGCCCAAATCACTGAAACCTCTTTCCTGAAACATAGAAGACTGTTGAGAAGCATTTCAGGATCAATACACACCTGAACTAAGAGTCAAGATGCAGAAATCAGAGCCCAACCTAGGCAAGTCAAGTGATCTGCTTTTTCTATTCGAAGTGGATTTTCCTAAATACTGCACACCCCATGGGACAAGGAGACAGAAGAAACATGTTTACTTTAAACTGTGGCCAGTGAGCACATACAGGATTGAAAGATATCAGCTCCCCCCACCCCAGTGATTCCCCCATCCTTCCAGCCAGCTGTGTGGCATTGTCACCAGCCAAGGGAAGTTTGGGATTAGGACAGGAAGCAGTGACATTATGATTAGACTATGTAATCCCTTCCTGTATTTTCACATGGTAAGAAGCTGATGAGTAATATGGGACCTCTCCCAAAATGTTTGTTGAAATATATTGAATTTCTTTTTAAAAAATTCTTTATAGTTATATACAATTTTTTTTAATTTTTATTTTTTATTAGTTGCTCAAGACAATACAATGATTTTGACATATCATACATTTGATTCAATGGGGGTATGAATTCTCATTTTTCAACATGTAAAGATTACAGGATCACATTGGTTATACAGCCACGTATATACATACAGCAATACTAGTGTCTGTTGTATTCTACTGCCCTCCTTACCCCCCTCTCCTTTCCCTCCCCTCCTATCACCTCTCTCTACCCAATCTACTGTGACACATTTCTCTCTCTCTTTTTTTTTCCTTTCCCCTCACACCATCAT